CTCTGGCCGGCACATACATTTCCAGGAACAGGTCACGTAGTGCTTGCATGTTGTCTGGTCGAGTGTTCGTCCACGATGTGTCATAATACTTGTAAGTGTGTTTCTCCGATCTTGCAAAAAACAAATAAGTTCAAATAAGGATCAAAAAACAAATAAGGATCAAAACAAAAACGAAATCGAGGGAAGGAAGGAAGGAAGGAAGGAAGGAAGGAAGGAAGGAAGAAAGTAGTTGTAGTACTACTAGTAGTAGTAGTACTAGTAGTAGTAGTAGTAGTAGTAGTTGTTGTAGTTGTAGTAGTAGTAGTTGTTGTAGTTGTAGTAGTAGTAGTACTAGTACTAGTACTAGTAGTAGTACTAGTAGTAGTACTAGTAGTAGTACTAGTAGTAGTACTAGTAGTAGTACTAGTAGTAGTACTAGTAGTAGTAGTAGTACTAGTAGTAGTAGTACTAGTAATAGAGGTACTACTAGTAGTAGTAGTAGTAGTAGTAGTACTAGTAGTAGTAGTACTAGTAGTAGCAGTACTAGTAGGAGTAGTACTAGTAGTAGTAGTACTAGTAGTAGCAGTAGTAGTAGTAGTAGCAGCAAGAATGAAAACATTGATTATATAAAAAATAAACCCAAATAAACGATGCTTGCGAAGAAAAAGAAATAAAGTAGGTAGCAAGGGAAGCTGATTAAAAAATAAAAGCGGGTGGGGGGGTGCAGGGGGGAGGGCGCAGCGCCTCCCCCCCGCAATGCGTACCAAGAAAGAAGCACACAGGCTCAAGTCTCGATGGATATAAATAAAGATTAAGAAAGAGAAGATGAACCCAAAGAAACGATACATATGAAAAAAACGAAAGAGAGTAGGTAGCAAGGGAAGTCGATTAAAAAATAAAAGAGGGTGGGGGGGTGCAGGGGGGAGGGCGCAGCGCCTCCCCCCGCAATGCGTACCAAGAAAGAAGCACACAGGCTCAAGTCTCGATGGATATAAATAAAGATTAAGAAAGAGAAGATGAACCCAAAGAAACGATACATATGAAAAAAAACGAAAGAGAGTAGGTAGCAAGGGAAGTCGATTAAAAAATAAAAGCGGGTGGAGGGGTGCAGGGGGGAGGGCGCAGCGCCTCCCCCCGCAATGCGTACCAAGAAAGAAGCACACAGGCTCAAGTCTCGATGGATATAAATAAAGATTAAGAAAGAGAAGATGAACCCAAAGAAACGATGCCTATGAAAAAAATGAAAGAGAGTAGGTAGCAAGGGAAGTCAATTAAGAAATAAAAGCGGGTGGGGGGGTGCAGGGGGGAGGGCGCAAGGAACAGGTCACGTAGTGCTTGCATGTTGTCTGGTCGAGTGTTCGTCCACGATGTGTCATAATACTTGTAAGTGTGTTTCTCCGATCTTGCAAAAAACAAATAAGTTCAAATAAGGATCAAAACAAAAACGAAATCGAGGGAAGGAAGGAAGGAAGGAAGGAAGAAAGTAGTTGTAGTAGTAGTAGTAGTAGTACTAGTAGTAGTAGTAGTAGTAGTAGTAGCAGTAGTAGTAGTAGTACTAGTAGTACTAGTCCTAGTACTAGTAGTAGTACTAGTAGTACTAGTACTAGTAGTACTAGTACTAGTAGTACTAGTAGTACTAGTAGTACTAGTAGTAGTAGTACTAGTACTAGTACTAGTAGTAGTAGTAGTACTAGTAGTACTAGTAGTACTAGTAGTACTAGTAGTACTAGTAGTACTAGTAGTACTAGTACTACTAGTAGTACTAGTAGTACTAGTAGTAGTAGTAGTAGTACTAGTAGTAGTAGTAGTAGTATTAGTATTCCTAGTATTACTAGTAATACTAGTATACTAGTATTAACTATTAAGACTAGGAGTACTAGTATACAAGTAGTAGCAGTACTAGATAGTAGTACTAGTAGTAGTAGTAGTACTAGTATTAGCATATAGTAGTAGTAGCAGCAAGAATAAAACATTGATTATATAAAAATAAAACCCAAATAAACGATGCTTGCGAAGAAAAGAAAATAAAGTAAGTTAGCAAGGGAGCTGATTAAAAAATAAAAGCGGGTGGGGGGTGCAAACAGGGGGGAGGGCGCAGCGCCTCCCCCCGCAATGCGTACCAATAAGAGCACACAGGCTCAATCTCGATGGATATAAATAAAGATTAAGAAAGAGAAGAAGGGATCAAAAAAAAAAACAAATAAGGATCAAAAAACAAAATCGAGGGATCAAAAAAAAAAACAAATAAGGATCAAAAAAAACAAATAAGGATCAAAAAAAACAAATAAGGACGATCGTAGTGAAAATCGTCAAGAAACTGCGGAAAGGGAGGATCAAAAAAAAAACAAATGGGAATACATATGAATAAAAACGAAAGAGAGTAGATAGCAAGGGAAGTCGATTAAAAAATAAAAGCGGGTGGGGGGGTGCAGGGGGGAGGGCGCAGCGCCTCCCCCCGCAATGCGTACCAAGAAAGAAGCACACAGGCTCAAGTCTCGATGGATATATATAATTAAAGATTAAGAAAGAGAAGATAAACCCAAAGAAACGATACCTATGAAAAAAATGAAAGAGAGCAGGTAGCAAGGGAAGTCAATTAAGAATTAAAAGCGGGTGGGGGGGTGCAGGGGGGAGGGCGCAGCGCCTCCTCCCGCAATGCCTCCCCCCGCAAAGCGTCACATGGTCATGATACATTTCGCAATGTAGATGGGCCTTATCATCCACCTTTGTTGCGCTGTCACAGCATACAGCGGATTACAGCGGCAGCAGTAGTACCGTAACACTAAACGTAGCAGTTGGTGGGCCATACCATCCACCTTTTTGTGGCAACAAAGGCTTGGCCAGAGCTAGTTTGCGCGCTTTGCCGGGCCTCTGGCCGGCACATACATTTCCAGGAACAGGTCACGTAGTGCTTGCATGTTGTCTGGTCGAGTGTTCGTCCACGATGTGTCATAATACTTGTAAGTGTGTTTCTCCGATCTTGCAAAAAACAAATAAGTTCAAATAAGGATCAAAAAACAAATAAGGATCAAAACAAAAACGAAATCGAGGGAAGGAAGGAAGGAAGGAAGGAAGAAAGTAGTTGTAGTAGTAGTAGTAGTAGCAGTAGTAGTAGTAGTACTACTAACTAGTAGTACTAGTAGTACTAGTAGTAGTAGTAGTAGTAGTACTACTAGTAGTACTAGTAGTACTAGTAGTACTAGTAGTACTAGTAGTACTAGTAGTACTAGTAGTACTAGTAGTACTAGTAGTAGCAGTACTAGTAGTAGTAGTACTAGTAGTAGTAGTAGTAGTACTAGTAGTAGCAGTAGTAGTAGTAGCAGCAAGAATGAAAACATTGATTATATAAAAAATAAACCCAAATAAACGATGCTTGCGAAGAAAAAGAAATAAAGTAGGTAGCAAGGGAAGCTGATTAAAAAATAAAAGCGGGTGGGGGGGTGCAGGGGGGAGGGCGCAGCGCCTCCCCCCCGCAATGCGTACCAAGAAAGAAGCACACAGGCTCAAGTCTCGATGGATATAAATAAAGATTAAGAAAGAGAAGATGAACCCAAAGAAACGATACATATGAAAAAATGAAAGAGAGCAGGTAGCAAGGGAAGCTGATTAAAAAATAAAAGCGGGTGGGGGGGTGCAGGGGGGAGGGCGCAGCGCCTCCCCCCGCAATGCGTACCAAGAAAGAAGCACACAGGCTCAAGTCTCGATGGATATAAATAAAGATTAAGAAAGAGAAGATGAACCCAAAGAAACGATGCCTATGAAAAAAATGAAAGAGAGTAGGTAGCAAGGGAAGTCAATTAAGAAATCAAAGCGGGTGGGGGGGTGCAGGGGGAGGGCGCAGCGCCTCCCCCCGCAATGCGTACCAAGAAAGAAGCACACAGGCTCAAGTCTCGATGGATATAAATAAAGATTAAGAAAGAGAAGATGAACCCAAAGAAACGATGCCTATGAAAAACATGAAAGAGAGTAGGTAGCAAGGGAAGTCAATTAAGAAATAAAAGCGGGTGGGGGGGTGCAGGGGGAGGGCGCAGCGCCTCCCCCCGCAATGCGTACCAAGAAAGAAGTACATACGCGCAAATCTCGATGGATATCAATCAAGATAAAATGAACCCAAATAACCGGTGATGCTTATGAAAAACAAAAAAAGTAGTAGGTAGCAAGGGGAACCGATTAAAAAAAAAGCGGGTGGGGGTGCAGGGGGGAGGGCGCAGCGCCTCCCCCCGCAATGCGTACCAAGAAAGAAGTACATAGGCACAAGTCGCGATGGATATCAATCAAGATTAAATGAATCCAAATAAACAACGATGATGCTTGTGAAAAAAAAGAATAGTAGGTAGCAAGGGGAGCCGGCTAAAAAATAAAAGCGGGTGGGGGGGTCAAGAGAAGGAAGCTTTCCATTCATTTTTCAAGAGAAGGTTACTTCTTTCTTTCTTTCTTTCTTTCTTTCTTCCTTCCTTCCTTCCTTCCTTCCTTCCTTCCTTCCTTCCTTCCTTCCTTCCTTCCTTTTTTTCTTTCTTTCTTTCTTTCTTTCGTTCTTTCTTTCTTTCTTTCTTTCTTTCTTTCTTTCGTTCTTTCTTTCTTTCTTTCGTTCTTTCTTTCTTTCGTTCGTTCGTTCTTTCTTTCTTTCTTTCTTTCTTTCGTTCGTTCGTTCGTTCGTTCGTTCTTTCGTTCTTTCTTTCTTTCTTTCTTTCTTTCTTTCTTTCTTTCTTTCTTTCCTGTCCTGATTTTGTTTTTTTTGATCCATGGGTTTTGCCTTCATTTCGTGATAGTTTCCTTGTGTTTTCTCATGTTTTCTGGATTTTGTTTTTTTGATCCCTATTTGTTTTTTTGATCCTTATTTGTTTTTTTTGATCCTTATTTGTTTTTTTTGATCCCTCTCCCTATATAGGCAGCCTATCGTAGGCATATAGATACATAGATACACAGATACATAGACACATAGATACATAGCTATAGATATAGATATCACTAGATATACAGCCAGCCAACCTCCTGATGACTTCAAGCAACGCTCCGCTGGCCTCCACTAAGGACGTATCTGCTGAGACAGCCTTCGTGCTCTGGATGGAACCTTCACGGCCGTTGATCCTCAGTGGCTTAGTGGCCTTTGGGTTGTCAAAAATAGGGATTTAACTGTAACCAACAAATATCGTGGTTTAATGAGGATCTAATGGGACTTCATAGGATATCTCATCATTGGATATCATTGGGTGTATCTTAAAATGGTATAACCTGAAATAGCTATCTTAATATAGGGAACAAAATGATAAACTAATAGATTTTCGGCTACCCTATTGAACTAAGCCAACACATGATGGGAAACGCCTGTGCGAGTCTGCGAGGGTATGTTGGGCCAAACCCACAGCGCCCTTCAGACTTCAGAATCGTAGATAACATCTGACAGCAATTTGCAACATTCTGAAATGGGAACTTCATGCTACATCGCGATTGCACATAGAGATCCATGGAGTCATGGAGTATTACTTTCCAAGGTCTTTGTAGCACATCCAAAACGAGATCCCCGGCGTCTGCAACGTCTGTGGTTGGAACTCCGAAGGAAATGTCACTTCCACCTAGGTCACCAGAATGCCAAAATTCTGGACAGCTTGCAGCTGGCATTACTTTGTGCCTCATCCCAACTGTCAACTGTGTCACAAAGTGTCAAAAGTGCGAAAAGAGGTTTGGTCTTGCTACATGGAGGTGTCCAATCCATGGGGGTACCCCAGTTCTTATCCTTTTTGGGGGGTGGATTCTCCATCAAACATCCAGCTCCCATGACTATCGATTTCTGAGGTGCCAGGCTGCCATTAGTGGCTCCAGCACCACTGGATTGGCTTCATCTGGGTGTAAACAGCTCGAGGGAAAGCGAATTCAATATCATTCCATCTGTACTGTAAATGTGAATATGTATTTTAGATATACAGATATATATATATATATTACGTGTGTATATATGTGTTATATATATATATATATTTGTCTACGTATTAGATACGTAGTATGTGTATGTGTGTGTATATATATGGTGCAGCGTTGGTCAGCCCCCCCCACCAATGGGTATGCGTGGACAGTATCGTCTGGTTCTTCTGGTCCCCCCCCTGTGGCCTGTGGGGGTGGTGGGGTGGTGGTGGTTATGTATGTATGTATGTCTGTCTGTCTGCCTGTCTGTCTGCCTGTCTGTCTGTCTGTCTGTATGTCTGTATGTCTGTATGTATGTATGTCTGTCTGCCTGTCTGTCTGCCTGTCTGTCTGTCTGTATGTCTGTATGTCTGTATGTCTGTATGTCTGTATGTCTGTATGTATGTATGTCTGTCTGTCTGCCTGTCTGTCTGCCTGTCTGTCTGTCTGTCTGTATGTCTGTATGTCTGTATGTATGTATGTCTGTCTGCCTGTCTGTCTGCCTGTCTGTCTGTCTGTATGTCTGTATGTCTGTATGTCTGTATGTCTGTATGTCTGTATGTCTGTATGTCTGTACGTCTGTACGTCTGTCTGTCTGTCTGTCTGTATGTCTGTATGTCTGTATGTCTGTATGTATGTATGTATGTATTTTTTATATCTATATATGTACATGTTACATTTATTTCTCTGTGATAGTGTATGTGTACGTACACGCATATATACATATATGTTAATATGTTTGTAAACATATGGAGAAACCATCCGTATAACGAAGACACGTATAGCTTATGCACATATCATTCATACATGCATGCATGCATGCATACATACATAGATACATACATCCATGCATACATACATACATACATACATTAATTACATACATACATTAATTACATACATACATACATACATACATACATTACATACATTACATACATTACCATACATTACCATACATTACCATACATTACCATACATTACATTACATTACATTACATACATTACATACATTACATACATTACATACATTACATACATTACATACATTACATACATTACATACATTACATACATTACATACATTACATACATTACATACATTACATACATTACATACATTACATACATTACATACATTACATACATTACATACATTACATACATAACATACAAACATACAAACATACAAACATACAAACATACAAACATACATACATACACACAGACATACATACATACATACATACATACATACATACATACATACATACATACCACCACCACAGGGGCATCATACCCCGCCCATCCCATGGGGGGTGGGAACACGGGACACGGGACCATATATAATACAAATGACCTATTTATAGATGATGACATTCCATAATATATATATATATACAACTGGACTGCAAATTATACCATGATTATCTTTGCACCGCTGGTATCAGCATTGAAGTCTGTCCAGTCACTGCGCAGCCGGGCGATAGAAGTTTTCAAAAGCTCCCAGGGCAGCTGCTTGGAACGCTTCAGAGGAAGAATCCACCTGGCAACGGAAGCTGGGCTTACGAAGCAAGGCAGGTTAGGAAATTTCTGAAGTTTTCACTGTCAAAACTATAGAATCTCTTAGAAAAACTCTAGGCTTCGAATTCAATTTCTGTGGAACCCTCAGATTTTGGAACAGGGGGTAGGATCGGCCCCCTCAACTTCCCAGCTGCTCCTCATGGGCTGCTCCATCCTCTAAGACCTCGGCTCTCCGTCCATCAGGATCTGAGATCCGAGGGGGCCAAGGGGGCCACAAGGACTCAGCAGCTGACACAGCGCATGTTGATGAGAGGACTGCCTGTCAGAAGTCCCTTCCTTGGCAACAGCAATGGCAGCAATTGAGGAAAAAACGTCTGAAAAGTCGTAGGATGCTGTTTGTCACTGACCCAAGGACAAACAAGATGTGATTTGAACATCCTCAAGGCCCAGACTGTTAGAAAAAAGATGAAAAAACATGAACTGCAATCTTGCCATTTGCAAACCGGGACTGCTTTGGAACAACTCAAACAGTGTGTGGAGTTTTGAGGTCACCACTGGGTTGCACTTCGGAAGCCCTTCTCGATGGCAGGCACCTTGGAGAACAATCTGCTGCTGCAGAGCCATAAACGGAGGGTGGCCAATAGCCACAACAAACAGATCCAAAGATCATTGGATCGGTTCAAGGAAGAACTGGCAGGAAATCAGCTAAATCATCCCAACGGCGGCGCGCCCTTAGCTTCCAGCGTATGATGGAGGGATGTCGTTTCCAACGAGTTTGTTCACAAAGGTGATTCCGTCCTTCGGCTGAACTGGGATTGGACCGCATAGTGGATGATTTACGCCCCATTTGTCGCCAAAAAATAATGGGTAGACGACAGAAGCATGATCAACCATGAGATTTTGGGATTTCCCCCAGTAAAATTGGACAGACCTGCTTTGCAATAACAAACACTGTTCCTGCTTGTATCTTTGTATCGACAGTGAATGTCTAGGTAGCTTCAGCTTGTTGGCCTTGTCACTGTGTTCTTCTTCTGGGATTGGCTCAAAGTAGCCAATCACCTCAAACCACGGTCCAGGGCAACTGCCACACGCTTGTGGCACAAAAGCTGCAAAAAAAGTGAGTTAAAGATATTTAATGTATCTACATTTTCTGTGCAAGTATCCAACGTCCAAATCCGGCATTCCATTTGCCCATCCTTCCATTTGTCACACTTTTTGATGCCAACTACAAGAAGTTCTCGCCTTGCCATATTGCCCTCGGCCACCAGATTGTCGCTTGTGAGTGTAGTCATACGTCGTCTTGCTGGTGATTGTCCTCAGAATTGAAAACGCTAATATAATAGAACTTCATCGCAGGAGAGCTGAGAAGCGTCCTTAAGAAAATCTGCTGGTTGCTGGTTTTCTCCCAAAAAATGGAATGCCTGAGTCCTCTCAACCATCCCAACCGTGGGTCCGTGGGCCCCTGCTCTCTGTAGTTGACCTTTGGCTCACCGGTCTTCAAGGACTCAACCTGCCGTCGAAGAAACAGTCCACTCTTGAGTATCATGGATATACTGCTAAAATGTCCGGTTTACTGTTAATGGTTGTGATGGCTATGATGGCCATGATGGCTATAATTCATAATATTATCAATAATTCAATTTCTGTAATCGGATTAGTGGGATTGTTGATGTAAGATCTCAAAGAAATGACCTCCATGCGGGTTCAGAATGCACTGCCCAGACCCAGACCCCCCCATTCATGACATGTCTTTCGGCTTGAAATGGTCGCTGGCGGAAAAGTTGCAGCAGCCAAAGAGACACCGAGCTCCCGGGTCTCTTGGCGCTCTAAGTTGCTTGTCTTTGCATCATGTTCACATGGTGGTCCATGGACATGTGCTCTCCTGTCAAAAGAGATAGCGGAAAACTGTCTCAATCACGGAAAATCGCGTCAAACAATCTCATGCTACGATGACGCGCTAATCGCATCTGTGGCGATCATTCTTGGAGGCCTCTGTGCAAATCTTAGGTGGTTAGCCATTCATATTTCCTGGCGGTTTCAGGGCATTTTGGGTTGTTCACATATCTTCGCCCTTGAATTTCCATGGATTTCCTGTAAGTGGCCCCTCCAAAAACCTGCCATCCAAATGCAGTCTCGCCAGCACCTGTGGCAACCCGACGCGAAGTTGCTTTGTCGTCCGCACGAGTCACCATTTGGGTCACCATTTGGCACACCAAGATCACATCACTTCCATGCTGCCAACGGCCTCGGTTTGAACATGGATCCACGGGTACCGGGCCGCCCCATCTGTGATCATATAGATATTATCTCTGCGTGATGTCCTTTGTACCTTAACTCCGAGCGACCTACCTCCAACAGCCTCTGTTCACGCTATGGGCAAATCGCAAAGCTTTGCCAAGGCGCTGCTTGAAACGCTTTCCGAATGAACTCATGGAACCTCTTTGCATATTGCACCTTAAGTGCTGCACAAAAGTAAAGAATCCCAATTGTTCCAAACCAAACCAACACCGAACTAAGTTGGAAACAGTTCCACAGCTTTGAATTCTCTCTCCATAGCCATCTCAGAACAAGAGTATGTCAGATTTTGATGACATTATGTATGTGTGCCTGTTTATGATATGGATACAGTATATATGTGTTCATGTGTGTGTGTGACATCAAGCTACCTAAGCGCTTTCTCGACCAGAACCCCCTGGAGCTTCCTCGTTCTTCGAGATTACACCCCATCACTATCCATCACTAAAAAAAACACTAACAAAAAACATTGCAAAATGCTGGGAGGAAAAGAAAAGTTATGTCTTCATCGTTTCTCAGAGAACGGGCTCCACAATGGTCGGTTCGTGCCGTTGGACCAGCTTCTTCATGGTCGACTCCAGCCTCAGATGAGGCACAAGCGGCATGCAAAATCGTACATGTATCATACTCTGTCTTAAAAAAACGTGACACATCAATTATATACATACAAATATCATACACTAAACCACATGCATACGCTACTCTATCATATGTATATATATGCATATATATATATATACATACCAGTATCATATACTGCATCATATACTATTTCATGTACTAATTGTACCGTATCATACGTGTATATTCTATATACATCATCATCATCACCATCATCATCATCATCATCATCGTCATCGTCATCGTCATCGTCATCATCGTCATCATCATCATCATCATCTTCATCATCATCATCATATGCATGTATGTGTATATATATATATACGCGTGTGTGTGTACATAAATGTAATATGTTGTATGTATATATACATAGTATATTATAGGTATACATAACATATATCATATACCGTATCACATATGTCTATTTTATATACACATCATATACTATATTAAACTATATCATATTTAGGTAATATGGTATCTATGGTATCTATGTATAATATATATATATATACATACATATATACATATTGTATAAGATGTGTGTTTGGTTGTATGTATGTCTCAACTATCCTGAAGCGCTGCAGAGGTGCTGCTTGTTGAGCGTATACGGCTGCAAGAAATCGATGATGGCCAGTCTGATTCGATTGGCCTTTGGATGGAAAGCCATCAACAAAGAATAGTCCACCAATCCCAGTTCTCGTAGCACATGAAGATCACATTTCAAGGCCAGTTCCAAGGCTTCATGATCTACAGGCTTTAAAACCTTGGGCAGTGCTCCAAAAGTTTCCACAAATCCCCCATCCCATTTCACAGCTGATGGGCTGGAGGGGGCCGTGGAAGCTTCAGGATCCGCCGATGGAGCTGGTGGCATGTTTCGATGTGCAGCACCTTTGATGTCGAAGATCTGCCAGTCGTCAGTGATGCCGTTCAACAAATTCCTAAACATCTGTTGGGAAAACATGGGAAAACACCAAAATCTCATGGTCTCTCATCATGTTCCAATATTTTTCCACTCAAAATTGTGATAAATTGGGGACCCCATCTCCCATTTTTGGACAGTGACCCTCCTCATGATGATGATGGTACGAGTTGATGGCCGCTTCCCAAGTCTGCCGACCCTGAAGAGCCCGAAGACTTCGCAGAGTAGGGATGGCTCACCTCTCAAGGCTTCAGCCAGCCTGACAGCAAAAGGTCCAGCCTTACTGGCAAGGTGACTGGCTTCAGCTGCACGGACTTCCTTCAGCATCAACTGGCCACATTCGGACTTCCAGAAGGCACCTTTACTCTTGCCCCCACTGGTGCTGTGTGGGCGACATCTGCGCAGCATCTCACAGAAGTTGGCATCATTGCCAAAGGCCAGGTGTCGGAGTAGATGGAAACGGAGTGGAGCTAAAGCCTCCACTTGCCAGCGAGTTCCATCCGGTGCCTGAACCGCGATCCGAATCACACTTTCTTCTCCATCAATGGAAGCAAAATCAATTGGCCTCTCAGGACAGTGCGCCACACAGAGGTCATCATCAAGCTCGTCTACCAAACAATGACCTGCCAACCGCGGTCTGAGCTGCTCCCAATGCTGCAAAGAGAGCAAGGCGTGGGCAATCACTGCACCCAAATCGTCAGTCTGCGCCAGAGATCCTGGGAGTGGAATTGCCATACCTTGGACACCACAAGGTACCGAAAGGCTGTAAGTCTCCGACTGACCTGTGCTTTCAAGGAGCCTGCGCGGTTCTGCGCACAGAACTGGCCATGTGTCCAATGGGTCACCTCCGGTGGAAGTAGCAGAAATCACTCGTAAGCACCCGGGCTGCTCTATGTCTCCAGCATCATTCTTCCCTTCACCCACCAGAGATGCATAGAATCGCTTCAAGATATTGCGGGGATCCATAGAGGCAAGCCTTGGAACACCAACATGTAGGAGAGATTCCAGTGAAGAATCATCCAGTGACCTCGCCTCATCTTTGCATTTCTGCTCCTCTTGGATTCCAAACTTTGGGGGGGCAGACAAAGACCGGGCTCGGTCACGCTTGGGCATCGCGAAACCAATGTCCGTGCAGCGGCGTGTCAACTTGCCCCTGGCAATGACTTTGGGTAAAAGTCCCCGTGCTGAGTTCACCTCGTTGGTCATTGAGTCAAACATCCGAAGAATATTTGGCAAGCGGGGATCGTCATCCCAGGAAACTAAAAACGTGTGTCAAAGACTTTAAGCCACCAACCAAATTCACAGCATTGATGGTTGAAATTTAAAATGGTTCACAAGAACCTGCCTCGAGGCTCATTCGGCTCCCACCAGCTTGACTGGGAGGATCCGCATGAAAGGTGTCATCTTCTGAGTCTGAGTCGGCCGAAGGTTTCTCGAGATCATCTTCCAACAACTGATAACACTCCTCTAAACAGTTGTGCAGGTGGCAAGTAATGCCCAAATCCACCAGGCGAGTTCCATCTGTTCGCCACGCCTGCAATTTGGTAGCGCAGCGCCTCAGAATGGACGAAGCCTCCAACAAACAACGACTTCGGAGTGCACATTTCAGCGCTCGTTCATCGGATTGGTTCCAAAACCAGGCATTCCTATTTGGAACTTGGCCACCTGGACCAACCTGCCGAAAGTCTCTGAGCACGTTGCTGAGGTGTGACTCAACCAGCTTTTCAGCCCGTTGAAGCACAGCGCTCAGTTTTTCCTTCAAGGCCGAAGTCTCGGTCTGCTTGTTGCAGTCAGGGCTGTTGGGCACCACCTGAGGACCTCTGAGTTCCAGGTGCAAGGCTTCGACCATCTTGACTTCCAGCACTGCATTCCCAATCTCCCAGGAGCTATTTGCAAAGTCATGGCCGCAGGGTAATTCATGTTGGCAAAACCACAAAAGAGAAAAGAACATGGATGCTGGCATCTGCAGAAGACGCTCTTGAGGCACTGTCCACTTCGATTTGCATTCACCGCATCTAAGCCACGAGTTTTTGCAGTCGTTGTTGGAGAAGGTCAACAAAATACGCCTCTCGCCACACATGTACACTCCCCGATGAAGAAGCAAGGATTGCCGACACTGAGAGCAAACCTTGCAGTGCACAATCAAAACTTGTTTCCGCACTGCAAATGATATTCCAGGTATCATCTCCCTTGGACAAAAACTCTCTTCGGGTATGGTTCCGAGGGGAAATAAGTGTCTCTCAAGAGAGTACGACACTACAATATGTCTGCCCAAAAGACATCGCCAGCATAACTAGCATCAAGAAAGTACCCTCCGGTAATCCAAGCAAGAGATATTCTCCATTTCTTTGTAGTGTCACCCCCGGATTGAACTCGGGGGTTACCCCGAAAAAAAAATGTTTTACTGTTTAAAAAGGGCGTTCCCTGCATATTAAGAAACTGGGGTTCTTCAGTTCTTCAGTCAAAATTCGATGAGTTTCCCATCCAATATTTTCCCATGGTTCCATCTCCACCGACTCCACCGGGTCACTTCCTTGGCTTCATCCAAGAGCTGCTTCATCTGCCGACCGCCGAAGGGATTCAAGGCTAACAGGAACAACCAGCAGCGGGGCCTGTCCTCATCACCTTCCTTTCCTTGCAGTAGGAAGGAGCACTGGTTGTCCTGGCGACTTCCGAAATGACTGGAGAAAAACGTGAGATGATCCAGGGCATGACACAAAACATCACTATATTTCCAACTGCAACAGGAACCTTGGTGAGTTTTAGGCTCTGGGAATGTCCTCAGTAAAGTACGAGGTGTTCCAACCCTGTCCTTAGTGTCTTCTGACAGAGGGTATGGTGCTAGTTCTGGACATTCAACGGGCGGATCCTCATTCGCCTCGCTGTTCTCACTCACCGATCTTCGAAAGCTCAAGGAGCGGATCCATCCCAAGAATCCTTCACGAGCCTCGGGAGGTGAGAGCCACGCATCCCATTCACCATGCATAAGCTGACTACCAGTAGTACCGCGCAAGGCGGTGGCGGAAATTTCAAAATAGCAGACCTATAGGAGAGGTTGGTTGCTGTGAATCACGGATGGCAGAGCGAATCCACTGATGGACCGAAAGGTGGTTGGAGTTGTGATTTTTGGCGTGGTTGCAACGGTTGCAGTGGTCACCTCACCGCAACTGCTGGATGTAGCGTTCTGTAGCGCAGTTGTAGTTGTAGTGTAGTGTAGTGGAATTGTAGTTGTAATGTAGTGCAATTAGCGTAGTGTAGTCGCAGTTGCTGTTGCAGTTGTAGTTGTTGTGTGGTGTAATTGGTGTAGTGTAGTGTACTGTAGTGTGGCAAACGGTATAGTGTAGTGTAGCCTAGTGTAATGTAGGTAATGTAGTGTAAAGTAGTGTTGTTGTAGCTAGATTCTAGTGTACTGTAATTAGCGTAGCGTAGCGTAGTGCAATGTAGTAGTTGTAGCTGCAGTCGCAGTTGCAGTTGTAGTGTAATGTAATTAGTGTAGTGTAGTGAAATGTAGTGCGGTTGTAGCTGTGTCTGTAGTTGTAGCGTAATGTAATGTAATTAGCATAGTGTAGTGTAGCGTAGTGTTGTGTAATGTACTGTAGTTGCGTTTGTATTTGTAGCTGTAGTGTGCTGCAGCGTAATTAGGGTAGTGTAGTGTAAGGTAGTGTAGTTGTAATTGTAGTTGTAGTTGCAGTTGCAGTTGCAGTTGTAGCAGTAGCAGTTGGAGTAGTAGGAGGAGTAGTAGTAGTAGTGGTGGTAGTAGTAGTAGCAGCAGCAGTAGTAGTAGTAGCAGTAGTACTAGTAGTAGCAGTAGCAGCAGCAGCAGTAGTAGTAGCAGCAGTAGCTGTAGCAGCAGCAGCAGCAGTAGCAGTAGCAGTAGCACTAGCAGGAGGAGGTGGTGGTGGTGGTGGTGATGGTGGTGTTGTTGTTGTCGTCGTCGTCGTCGTCGTGGTTGTTGTTGTTGTTGTTGTTGTTGGTGGTGGTGGTGGTGGTGGTGTTGGTGTTGGTGTTGGTGTTGGTGTTGGTGTTGGTGTTGGTGTTGGTGTTGGTGTTGGTGTTGGTGTTGTTGTTGTTGTTGTTGCTGTTGTTGTTGTAGTAGTAGTTGTTGTTGTTGTAATGTAATGTAATGTAATGTAATGTAACGTAATGTAATTAAATGTAAATGTAAATGTAAGTGTAAATGTAAATGTAGTGTAAAGTAAAGTAAATGTAAATGTAAATGTAAATGTAAAAGTGAATGTATATGTAAATGTAAATGTACATGTAAATGTAAATTAAATGTAAATGTACATGTAAATGTAAATGTAATGTAATGTAAATGTAATGTAATGTAATGTAATTAGTGTAGTGTAGTGTAATTAGATGTAATTAGATGTAAATTAGGTGTAATTAGATGTAATTAGTGTAGTGTAATGTAGCGTGGTATATGTGCATTTGTATTTGTAGTTGTAGTAGTGTAGTGTAGTGGTAATTCACGTCGCTTCGCGACGGCAACCGCCCGCACCGCATCGTTGGGCTCTTCTACTTGAGTTCTCTTCTATTGCCGTCGCTCCGCGACAAGAACCCCTGTGCGGCCGCCACGGTTTGAACGATGTTGTTCTCACACCTTCGCGACCGCTCGTAACTGCCAATGATGTCGGCCATTGAGACCAAAAGCATCCGAAAGTACTGATTGTCGGAAAAAAAAACGCGAAGAATTTGATAGCCATGTATAGCGGACCAACGCAGTTCAAAAAATAACGAAAAACATGAAAAAACGGCGAAATTGCTGTTATTTACAGTGTTTTTGCGCGGTGAGAAGCAGAAACCACTGCAAATACCATGGTTTTTGAGGGTCAGGTGGCCAAAAACACTGTAATTTACAGTGTTTTTTTAACCAACGTCAAAAAACACTGGTATTTACGATGTTTTCATTCACACCGTAACATAAAACAGCGTAATTTACGAGGTTTTTGGAAGTTTTGAAGCTAGCCGTCAAGCATGCAGAAAACAGAAAAACACTGTAAAAACCAGTGTTTCTGCTATCACAAAACGACGAAAATCAGTCCGAAAACGGGTCCAAAAACTCAAAAATCCGCCTCCGGGCCAGGCCACCTGCGGAACCGCAAAAAAAGATGTTGCAAACCAAAAAATTGAGGTCAAAAAGTTGAAAAACACGGGTTTTTTCACTTTTCGCTTGCCGATTTTGGACGGGCGCGTTCACGAACAGGTGTCTTCCGTACTGTTTTTTACAGTGTTTTTTGAAGGCGAGCGTCACGACCTATCAAAAACAGGAGGTTTTGGCCGAAAAATGCCCCCCCCCCAGGTAAACCTGTAACCTTTTACGAGTGCCATCCGGACGATCACGCCCCAGCACCTTCGGTGCGGGCGGATTCTGGCAATTGCAGTTGTAGTTGTCGATCTATCGATCTGTCTATCTGCAAGCGTGAAAATGAAGCTATTCTGCGAGACTTCCTCAGTTTTTGAACTTGACAACATCAAAAACGCAGCAATTCTGCGAGACTTCCTCATTTTTCAAAGTTGACAACATCAAAAACGAAGGAATTTTGCGAGACTTCCTTTAAACATGGAAGTTCAGTGCAGAGCTGTCGGGCTGGTACCAATGCTTTTTGCGACGTTTCCACTCCATCTGTCTAAAGCACTGCGCCTGCCACGAAAAAGTGATGCCAGGTCATACGAAGTGCTGCACCTGTCACGCAAAATCATCTTAGCAAACCTGAAGATCTGATGCTGCAAGATGGCAGCCCCTCTCAGGAAATCAGCGCCCTGACCTCCTAACATCTCTGATGAACATGTCTCTTGCACTGCGCCTGCCACGCGAAACGACATCTGAACGTCCAACAGTGGTCCGGGGCCGTCAGTTTGTAACACTTTTGGCTTGGAAATGTGCTTCGCGCCACGACGGCGTGCACTTTTTCGACAGCGCAACTTCTAAAAGCGCTCCGAAGCTGAGGTGCTTTGTACATTTTGACTTCGGAATGTGCTTCGCGCCACAACGGAGTGCACTTTTTAATACTTTTTAGACATCTCAACTTCCAAAAGTGGTCCGAGCATGGTGTGCTTTGTACATCTTGACTTGGAAATGTGCTTCGCGCCACAACGGCGTGCAATTTTTCATCTCTCATCTGCCAGATGGCTCCGCACCCGCCGCTTTAGCGAGCCTACTTTTCGACCCGGCGGAGCGACAATCTTTCTGAAGCGAGCTGCCAAGCCAAGCGCTGGAAACACCTCAACTGGGTTTCCGTGAATTAAATGGCCGCAAATCCTGTTGAACCTGACCTGGCTCTGGCACCAAGGCCTCCCAGACCTTCTCCGGAACCTTCTCCGGAACCTTCTCCGGAACCCTGTTGAACCCGACCTGGCTCTGCACCAAAGCCTGAGCCTTCTCCGGAACCTTCTCCAAAACCTTCTCCGGAACCCTGTTAAACCCAACCTGGCTCTGCACCAAACCCTCCCGCACTTTCTCCGGAACCTTCTCCGGAACCTTCTCCGGAACCCTGTTGAACCTGACCTTGCAAAGCCTCCCAGACCTTCTTCGGAACCCTGTTGAACCTTACCTGGCTTTGCACCAAAGCCTCCCAGACCTTCTCCGGAACCTTCTCCGCAACCCTGTTGAGCCTGACCTGGCTCTGCACCAAAGCCTCCCAGACCTTCTCCCGGAACCTTCGGAGCCTTCTCCGCGTTGAACCTGACCCGGCACCTGCACCAGTGCACACCGGAGCTATTCTGGGCTGAAGACCCCATTAGCTTACGCTGTTGGGGAAAAACACAATGCTTCGCGACTTTTCTACCTTTTCGCGCACCTGCATCTTCTTTCTTCTGACTCTTTCTCTTCTCTGATCTTCTCTCTTCTTCTCTTCTCTTCTCTGACTCTTCCCGCCTCTGCTTTTCCATCTGTCCATATTGTCGGAAGTTTGACTTCTTAACTTCCCTTCGATAATTGACGATGATTGACTATGACTATGATATTTTAAGCTTCGATCCGGATCCGCAACCAATCTCTCTGAGTGAGTATATTGTGACAGTATATTATACTACGTACTTTTTCCAGCAATCCACACCCAGTTTTGTTGGCAAAAATATCCAATCATTTGAAGACGTTCCTTTCCGTCAAGCAACCGCTGGGGACTTCTCCTCACATGGATCCAGAACCTCTCGCAACCACTGCTCAGTCGGGCTGGTATCCACTGTATCCATTGCAACGCAACCACGCCATTGGTGCTAAATGCAGCAGCGGCGACAGCACACAGCTGTGGGTTTGGAAAAAGGTCGAAAAAAAAATCTGATTTGACCTCGGAATGGTTGATGTTTGTACTTCAAATCTTGCAGCCATCTGGAAGTCATCTAATCTAATCCTGGCCTGACGCATCCTGAAGCCCTGGTTTCTTAGCAAGGGGCTTTCTGCTACTTGAGGCTCATCCCCAAGAACAATGCAACATGTTTGGTGTGGAGCCTAGCTGAGAAACAGTACTTTTGGAGGTCAATCCTAAAGGCTCTGATCACAAAAGCTGCAGCAATCGTCCAATCTGGTTAGAAGAGTCGTAATGTCTTGCCCACGGCTTGCCTTTTGCGCTGGCCATCAATACTGTAGGCCACCTCTCCCCTCAACATGTCGCTCAATGGAATTGGCCCCCAGCCATCGACCCCAGTTTGCTGCGCGGTGTCAGACATCCACAGCTTTGGCTACCTTTGACCAAGTCGCTCTGTGCGGTGTGTGCACACCTTCGAAGTCATTGTCAGCCGAAGAGACGCAGAACTTCCGGGTCTCTTGGCCCTCTAAGTTGCTTGTCTTTGCATCATGTTCACATGGTGGTCCATGGACATGTGCTCTCCTGTCTATCAAAAGAGACAGCGGAAAACCGGTTCAATCACGGAAAACCATGTCAATTTATTGCATCTGCGGCGGTCATTCTTGGAGGCCTCTGTGCATTCGTAGGTGGTTAGCCATTGATATTTCCTGGGGTCTTGAAGCCCTTGCTTTTTCATCCAAAGCCTCATAGTTAGACTGTAAGTGTTTCACATTGATGTCGACTTACATCTTAACTGATCGGGTGGTGTTGGGATTGCATATGCTGCAAGAAACTTCCAGAGGCATTTAATCATGCAACAAAATACAATATGGTTTCAGGGCATGTTGGGGTGTTCACATATCTTCGCCCCTGGATTTCCTGTTGGAATTTCTTCAAAAACCTGCCATCCAAATGCAGTCTCGCCAGTGGTGGCAACCCGACGCAAAGGTGTCGCCTTTGTGACTCACCATGGGTCACCACAATTCTTCCAAAAAAAGGCCAAACATTTGAATTCCACGTCATCAGTGCGATGACCCATATAATTCACTACCGATCTCAAATCACTTGCTGCCAACGGCCTAGGTTTGGACATGTTTGGGCCAATTCACTGCTCCCGCAAAGCCACCCGACATGGAAGGACTGCAAATGGTGATAGATGTTGGCTGAATGAGCGAAATCGACTACGATCAGTTCATGGTGTCTCCACCTTGTGACCTCGGCTGACCCAAGAGGACAATAAGTGTCCATTTCTAGACCTCTACCATCGATGGTTAAACCATGCTAAATCCCGTTGATAGATAATCTTCCGATTGAAATATATTTATTAAAACACCAGGGTGTTTGAAAAACTTTGAAACTGAGTATGTTGCACCTTTTCCATCTTTTTCCAACAACACGGCCCACATGCCTTTATCGAAAAATGTCCTGGTCTGAAGACGTTCCATCAAGCAACCGCTGCTCACATCGGGCACCCACCCTATGGCAACGCAACTACACACTGCTCTGGGTTTGTCAAAAAGTGCTGAGGGTCCTGATGGTCTGCTTGGCTGACGCTACATTGGATTTATGATGTAATCATCGCCTACTGGCCTGCAACCCTGGGTTCTTTGCAAGTAGCTTTCGGATTTTTGAGAAATGGTACCTTTCAGAGGTTAAACGTGCAGAGTTCTGAACAGAAAAGCCGCGGCACAGAACCCAATCTGGCTATAGGAGTGTCGCAATGTTTTCACTCGGTAGGCTTTGCGCACATCCCTTTATCTCTCCCCACCTCATTTGTCCACTGATCAAACAACTCACTTCTGCAATCCCGGCCTTGAATTCACGTCGCATTCGCTCACAGTAGACTTCCAAGTGAAGTTCACCCATTCCAGAGATGATCGTCTCATTCCTTGCGACCAATTCTGATCCTTCGCATCTATCTCTCTCTCACTCTCTCTCTCTCTCTCTCTTATGTTTACTATCTGTTACTGCATCTGTTACTTCCGGCACTGGAATCAATGCATAGCATCAATGCATGATGCAAGATTCCCCGTGAACACAACGTCCAAAGATTCTTGGTCGGGTCATGGATTTTTGTCCCTGATTACTGTTGGTGCTACTGTCACTACCCAGGTGGTTGTTCTTCCAATTGACATCGCTCCTTCAGAGCCCTGCAGGACTAGTTCAACGAAACACACATGATCATGGGCATGCCCACACACACACACACGAATAGATTTGTCATACAGCTGTACATTGCCTATTCACGGAATACTTTCTTAGGGGAAACTTCTCAGATCTTGAACACTCTCAAACTAAACCCTTCTTTATGATTTTACCACTAAACCCTTCTTTATGATTTTACCATACTTTACCTGGTCACCATCACAGGCACTTTTTGTCATCAATCTTCTGCATCAAGAGCCTCCTTCCCGACAACATTTAGTTGCCACTTGGGGGCCAAACGTCTCTTGCTTCACTTCGACTTGGAACGTTGGATCCTCCCCTTGAAGCATCGACTCACTCATCACCGAAGAATCGCTTGAACGGCGAAAAAAAAACACCTTGGCTGAGGACACGGACGTTGAAAACGCTTCAGAGCCTCTCGGCTGCAGTTTGAAGCGGGTCATGCCACAGATGAAATGCCGAAGAATCTTATGCTAAAGTCAGAAGATGTCATTGGTTTCTTTCTTTGGCAGCGCTAGATCGTAGAACTTTCAGCAACATCTTGTGAGTGTCTAATGGATTTTACCTAGTTTACCTATAGCAATTGGGACTTTGAAGCCAGCCTGGGTCGAATGGGGGGGTTGGGTCAAGTTCTGCATCTGCCTTCTGGAATCGTGCTTGGTCATCTCTGGAGGCTGTGACTGAGATGGACATCACCTGATGGGCTGCAACTGGAGATCCAAAGTAAGGGGATTCCCACAGGGATTCCCACAGTTTTTTGATGTTTTTAATAGACTTTGGAGATTGATTGGCATCGTTGCCAAATACTTCCTGGCTGAAACTCTTGATTTCTATGCGGTCTGCGACCCATCTTTATGACAAGTGGCTGGCTCGGGAACGAACATCGAGCTGCACCTTAGGACCAAAAGAGGAATGGCTTCCTTCTTTGAGGGCTCCTCCGAGTTTGTGAATCTTGTGCCTCAAATTTACTTGGGTGTGTCTGAAAATAGTGTACCCCTAAACCCAATGGTTAATGATCATTATCCCTATTTTTTATGGCTATTTCATTGGGAATATACCCAACATTTTCAGACAAACCCACTTCACACCAGCCATGCCATTGCTTCAGTTCTGAGTTTCCCAACGTCACCTTGGCTTTGCCGTCAGTGAAGGTCACACCAGACTCACAGTCGACACCGGCGAGTGCAACGATATCTCCAGCACCTGCCTGGTGCGCTGGAAATCGATGAACATCATTGAAAGCTCGTGAAAGCTCATAATTGACCAACAGACTAGGGCATGCCGTATCAAATTCTGGATGCTGGAGAGTGTGTATGTGCGATTGCCTGGCTCACATCACCAGCAACGTGCATCTCCCCGAAAGACACTTGGGAATGGTTGGTAGGGCAGAGGGTCACTATTCCAGATAGCGGTAAAGCAACACCTTGAAGCGATTCTGGAAAACCAAAGAAATATGTATGTGCACAATTGTGTGCATATATATATATATATAATTATATATATATAATTATATATATATAATTATATATATATAATTATATATATAATTATATATATAATTATATATATATGTGCACACTTGTACACATACGTGCATATTATGTGTATATTAGATATAATATACATATTATATGTACATATACATATATGATGGATTGCGATCATCCTCACTCAGTGGTTCCAACATGTTGTGACCTCACATTTCCACAGTTTCCTCAAAGAACTAGAGCAGACAGTTGGGCATGAAATAAATGGCAGCCTCGTTGACATCCTTGATCTCATTGGAGTGCATGCGCACCAGTCGCTTCACAGAAATCCTTGCAGCATGCGGTCGAAGCAAACGTTGAGTGACAAAACATGCAAATTCTCACAGCCCGGCCTCTTGTTGTTCATCATATTGACCTCGGCAGCTGGAAACTCAGATCCGGCATGCCATGTTTGCCATGTCTGCAGACACGGAATACTGTGTCAACTGTCACCAGCAAAAGAATTGCCCGCAGCCAAGGTGCGATGGAGTCGCCTTTTCCCACCTTGCCTTGATACACCTGAGCCAAATCCAAACAGAACGGCTATGGCTGAATCTGAAGCAGCTTCAAGACCTTCAAGAGTCTTTCTTTATTCTTACAAGGTGGTAACCTTGTGATGTTTGTTGGTTTATAACCTCCATTCACAAGTTCGATGTATCATAAGCATCATTAGACATCCATAAACATCATAAACCCTACTGAAAACAGTTATAAACCCTAGTTATTGGAGCCGTAAAACCAACGCTAACGGTGTCACGTTTACTCGGGCACCCAAGGTCGTAGCTGAGCCAAGTCACCCGCATGTAGGTGACCTGCCCTGCCAATGGATGGTCCTGGTGGCAGCGGTATGATGGCAATTGCTGCCATAGTAATACAGTAATACAATACAAATGATGGTAGTAATAATAATAACATATACTAACAATCATACAATACGCATTCATAATACTTTTATATAATTATATTCATAAAGTCCAAGATATACTAATATAAATCTATCAATCTAATACCCTCCTATTACTAATACCCTAATATTGACCCAAGCCGATAACCATACACGAATGTTCAACCCATACTGATATCCATTTCGTCTCTTCAGTAAGCTGCAGTTCCGTCAGCTCCTGAATCTTGAAGGCATAGCCCACCAATGGATCCTTCCAAGAGGACTGCAAGAAAACACCTCTACAAGGTCACGAGGATCGGCCAGTCCTGTGTCTTGTTCGAGAGCTCTACTGTCTGCTCTTCGTCCTCTGAATTCAAGGCCTTGAAGCGCCAAGATGTGCTCAAGGTATCTCAGGGTTTCAACCGATTGAACTTATTCACATATCAATAATTATCAATATGGTTCAAAACGGGGCTACCCATGGACCCACAAGAAGGATCAAAGTTTGCATTTCTGTGTTGAACCATGTTGAACCATTGGGGTCAATCATTTTCAGCCCCGAATCGAAATGAACCGGCAGCTCAAAACACTGACAAGCTCCAATGCTTTTTCCACTGCAACACGCTGATGCTCTGTTCTTGTGACGTTGCTTCAAGTGCAGCGCATTCACCGAACTGAACTAGGATTTATGACCTGTCTTGACATGAGAGACTGAAACTCATGGGCAACAAGCCTACAAGAAACCGCACAAGTGCAAGCGTCCCTCAGCGTCAGTGAAATTGTGCCGGATCCAGTGACTCTGCTTCTGGACAGACCTGAATCAAGTCCTTCGGAAACTAAGCCACTGCCAAGTCAGTGTGGAAGCTTGGACATGGGGCTACTCAAACGACATACTGGAACAACACACTCTTAAGCTCAACAACATCGCACCGCACAGCAGGAGGGAAGCTTTCAATATGCATCAATATGTTTTTCTCATGAATCACAAACGACTGCTGGGATTTATACACGTAGCAGGTCATGATCCTCAAACATCTCCACCCCATGGGATGGGAAGCACCGCAGCTGTCCTTCAGGAAGCAGTCACCAAGTTCAGTGGTATCCTTTGTCCGCCAGGTCGCATCCGCCTCAGATGGCCCCTTCGGTGGAAATTCGACTGACAAAAAGAATTGTCGTCGAGAAGACTTCGACTGCCTTAAAGATGTTTGAGTTTGTGTTCTTCCCAAGCTTATGTTTGTTCGAAGTTGGTTTAAAGTTTTCACGCTGTGCAGGAACCCACTCTTGTTGCCGACACTCTGTCCCTGCCTGGAGGTTGAAGTACAGTGCTCCGGAGACCGGTGAGGCGTACCAAATCTGGTGGCAATGGGCGACAAATGTTTGCCCGGTCAGGAGTCTGACTCAACACAAGGGTTTGGTTGAAAGTGCTTATTGAAAACCTCATTCTGCGCTTAAAAAACCGCCATGAAATGAGGTATCCGATCCTCCAGTTCCAGGGAAACCCACTCTTCAGCAGAAAATTACAGGTGACTCATCAACTCGGGCAGAATGCCACCTGCCGAGTGCCATAGTGTTTGTTGATGACCTGACAACGCTGTGGATCAACTTCTTGGTTGAGCCCTTTTTGGGGCACCAAATCAGAGTCAATTGGGTTCATCCCAGTTTATTTCTGGTATGGAAAAGAAGAAGATTCAAAACCACCAACCATTCTGAGGACAACATATTGCTACTGACAAGACTTCTTTCTGAACATCGAAAACCACAATCTGAAAATTGAAAATTGAAAATTGAGTCGAGCTGCGAATGAGCTACCACTCTCAAGTTTCACGGTCAGGACGCCATCCTGCCACTTCTCCCCAGTGCCCAGCGTTCCCAGGCCAGAAAATTACCATCAAGCAGCTATTGCGGCTATTGTATATTCTAAATGGACCTTTACTTCCAGTGACATGTTCTGATACTTTCGTCCTCGTAGCCAAGATCATCAACACAATCCAAATTGCTGACATCCAACGAATCGAAGATCCGCTGCAAGGAGACTTCTGCCTTGGCCTTAGACAAGGGTATAGACGGGAGGCTTCTGAGTGTGGAAAAACGTAAGTTCTTGAAATAATGTGGTAAAATGTGGTAAACCCAACAATGAACTTATCATTTGTGGATGTTTTCGTACCCATTTATGGTAATATTGGGGATATTAGAACCAGTCGAAGTCCAAGCGGCGTGGAATTCTGTCTCCGTCACCTGCATCTCATCTCCTGGCGATTGCCGTTGTCAACCATCCCAGCCAGATCCAGCCAGTGGAATGTGGTAAACCTAAGATGTATACAATATCATACAATAACACTGGATGGGATGGTTATAGCAGATTTATAGAATCCATTTCTGATAAGTGATTGAAGATGGTTTACTATGTCATTTTCCATATTGGTCCCAATCATTTTTATAGATACCGAAACCCCAAGACTCTATCAACATTACCACGTGGTTAGGGCAAATGGACCCCCCCATTTTGAGATGATTCAATCATTCAATCTCTCTAAATATGGTGTTTTGTACCATGGTTTTTACATATACTTCAATATTTCAACAACTTGATACCAACCATTTTGGGCCCAGCCAACCCCTCACCTGCTACATCTCCCCGGCCAGTTGCAAAACGTCGGAGCAGTCCAAGCCGAGCTGAGGGAACCTCGGACGTCAAAAACATGTGGCTGACTCGGAGCCTGAGAATTCTGGTTTTAAAATGCTTTAAATGGCTCAAAGAGCCCAGTTACAGTTTATAATATACATATATATATATATATATAGATATATATATATAATTGTATATACAGTGTATATATATATATAATTGTATATACAGTATATATATATATGTATACAATTGTATATACAAGTTACAAGTATATATTTTTTGTTGAGAGAGAGAGAGAGAGCGTCATACTTTTATTGCCTTCTTAATGGGGAAAATTACCAGTAGTACCGCACAAGGCGGTGGCGGAAGTTTCAAAATAGGAAACCTATAGGAAGGGTTGGTTGTTGTGACTCACGGGTGGCAGAGCGAATCCACTGATGGACGGAAAGGTGGTTGGTTGGAGCTGTGTTTTCTGGAGTGGTTGCAATGGTTGCAGTGGTCACCTCACCACAACTGCTGGATGTAGTGTGGTGTAGCGCAGTTATAGTTGTAGCTGTAGGTGTAGTGGTAGTTGTAGTGTAGTGGAGTTGTAGTTGTAAGCTGTAGTTGTAATGTAGTGTAATTAGTGTAGTGTAGTTGCAGTTGTAGCTGTGGTGTGGTGCAATTAGTGTAGTGTATCGTAGTGTACTGTAGTGTAGTTGTAGTTGTAGTTGCATTTGTAGCTGTAATGTACTGCAGTTTAATTAGCGTATTGTAGTGTAATAGTGTAGCTGTAATTGTCGAAGGAAGTTTAGAAGCCAAACTTCCGACAATATGGACAGATGAAAGGCACAGATGGGAAGAGTCAGAGAAGAAGAAGAGAAAGAGAAGAAGAAAGAAGAAAGAAGAAAGAAGATCAAAAAGAGAAGAGAAGAGAAGAGAAGAGAAGAAGAAAGAAGATCAAAAAGAGAAAGTCTCAGAAGAAAGAGGATCCAGGTGCGCGAAAAGGTAGGAAAGCCGCATCGAAAAGTAGGTTCGCTAAAGCGGCGGGTGCGGAGCCAGCTGGCCAGATGAGAGATGAAAAAGTGCACGCCGTTGTGGCGCGAAGCACATTTCCAAGTCAAAATGTACAAAGCACACCAGGTTTGAAGCACTTTTAGAAGTTGCTATATCGAAAAAGTGCACGCCCTTGTGGCGCGAAGCACATTTCCAAGTCAAAATGTACAAAACCCACCATCCTCGGACCACTTTTGGAAGTTGAGATGTCGAAAAAGTGCACGCCCTTGTGGCGCGAAGCACATGTCCAAATCAAAATGTACAAAACCCACCATCCTCGGACCACTTTTGGAAGTTGAGATGTCGAAAAAGTGCACGCCGTTGTGGCATTTCGAAGTCAAAAGTGTAAAAAACTGTGGGGTACGGAGCCCTTTTGGGCGTTCAGATGTGGTTTCGCGTGGCAGGCGCAAGGGATTGAGCACCTTGTCAAAAGTGAGCAAAACATGAGGGTTTTCTAGCATTTCCAAAAATAATGATGGCAGGCGTGGGACATGTGACGAGGATCTGCAAAGATGCATTTTCCCTGGCAGGCGCAGTACAAGAGACATCTTCATCAAAGATGTTTTACTCGAGGTCAGGGCGCTGATTTCCTGAGGAATTGTTTCGCAGAATTGACGAAGTGCTGCACCTGTCACGCAACATCCTCTCAGCAAAGCTGAGGATCTGATCCCCCAAAATGCAACCCCTCTCAGGAAATCAGCGCCCGGACCTCCTAACATCTCTGATGAACATGTCTCTTGCACGTGCCACGGACAATGCATCTTTGCAGATCCTCTTCAAATGTCCCACGCCTGCCATCGTTTGGAAATGCTACAAAACCCTCAATCCCTTGCGCCTGCCACGCAAAACCACATCTGAACGTCCAAAAGTGCTCCGTACCCCTCATTTTTTTGCACTTTTGACTTCGAAATGTGCTTCGCGCCACAACGGCCTGCACTTTTTCGACATCTCAACTTCCAAAAGTGGTCCGAGGATGGTGGGTTTTGTACATTTTGACTTGGATATGTGCTTCGCGCCACAAGGGCGTGCACTTTTTCGATATCGCAACTTCTAAAAGTGCTTCAAACCTGGTGTGCTTTGTGCATTTTGACTTGGAAATGTGCTTCGCGCCACAACAGCGTGCACTTTTTCGACATCTCAACTTCCAAAAGTGGTCCGAACATGGTGTTTTGTACATTTTGCCTTTGAAATGTGCTTCGCGCCAGAACCGCGTGCAACTTTTCATCTTTCATCTGACCACATGGCTCCACACCCGCCGCTTTAGCGAGCCTACTTTTCGACCCTCATCATTGGAAAAACACAGTGTTTTGCGACTTTCCTACCTTTTCGCGCACCGGGATCTTCTTTCTTCTGTTTTTTGATCTTCTTTCTTCTTCTCTTCTCTTCTCTGACTCTTCCCACCTGTGCTTTTCCATCTGTCCATATTGTCGGAAGTTTGACTTCTAAACTTCCTTCGATGAGAAACAGTCTGAGACAACCCCACGTTGAGGCAGTGAAACTGAAACAGTCAAGCCTTCGGAGTCCAATTGTTTGGCATATTTTCGGTGTGGTCCTTTGCTGTGATATTGAATCTGATTGTTCGAGATGAATTTTCCTTCTTGAACAAGCGTCGCCATGCGCAGCAGCAGAACCATCTCAGACCCGGACAGCGAATTGAGGCTGGATCGGCCGCCAAGCCTGCAATTTTTGAAGAGCTATGGCAAAACTGCCCCCAGGAATGGCCAATTACTTTGGACAACTATGACAACTACAAAAGTGGCCGTGGCTATCCCTAAACCCGCCTGCACCGTTACCCGAAGCGCTCGGGCCACATGCACAACTCCGATCCGGGAAAACATGGCGATGGAAGGAGTTCAGCGTCGCACAACTGCTTGAAATAGTTGGATCTTTGGGCTGCGAGTGAACTGGTAAAGCTATCTTTGCATAGTTCAAACTGGTTCTTGTTCTCATGCCCTCCGGATCTATCTTGCATCAAAATCTGATGTGTTCAATTTGCCAGGTAGTGATGCACACTTTGACAGTTCATGTAGAGAGATCTTGCCTTCGTGGGCATATGTTTGCTCTTGCAAAAGCTGCAGAGCAGGGCACTGACACTCTAGTCTTAGAATCTTGACTTGATGCTTTTCAAAATCTGCTCCTTCCTCATTACCAGCGCACGTCGCAAATCCCCTCTACATTTGGGGCATTCATGCTCCAGGGATCATCTTCACTTCCATCAAATTCATCCAAATTCATCCAAAATCCAAAAGCATCAAAATCCAAACCTCTCAGATCCTCTCAGAGTAGATGGCTTTCTTGCACTACCCGCACAAATCTAAGCAGCCGAACAATGTTCTTCTTGTCCAAGGGCGAAGGCCTTGGAAGCTGCTTCCAAAAGCAGTCCAAACGCGCTCCGAATTTGGACAAAAAGCGAACAAAAAAAAACGGTGTTCTCGTGGCCCTACCAACGGTGTGCTGAAAAAGTAGGAACACGTCACAAAAAGATGTCCCTGGTCAAGGAGTCAGGGCTTCAGTGAATCAGTGGCGATGTTACCTCTCCAGGCACCAGAGGAATCAGAGGAACCCTGGAATTTGTCTCTGGGCACTGTGCAGGTAGCGGCAAACACCATCCAGCAGATCCTGAACAGCTGGGCAGGGCACAGGCATTCAATGGAATTGGGCAAAATTCGCACGCTGATGGAAACCTCTTTATATCCTGTCTTGAATCCATTCAAGTCAATTCTTATCTATTCGTATCACTTTCTCATGAATTAGGGAGATCCAAAACGTCTCGTTTTGTGAATAGAATCGATCCTGTCATGCTTGGCAATTCCGGATGTAAGCCCTGGTCACTCTGCCGCAGAATATAAGCTCTGCCCACACGTCCTGAACTCCCTTGTTCTTGTATGCAGAGCCTAGGGCTTCCGTCTTGCTTCAGTGCTCGGCTTTTTGGGGCCATAAGAACCGAAAGAACAAGCAGCAAGAACACCCACAGGCTCTTCACTGCCACAACAACTTGCAGTTGCTACCGAGTACTACGACTTGCGAAACAACCGAAAAATTGACTAGCCAATTATGCAACTAGCCGATGAATCAAGCAACTAAGGATCTATTAACTAAGTACAGTGATCAATCACCTCCAGACAGGACTTGGTGTAATCCCTCCACTCAATGTTCATGGTCAAAAAAGGCTTCCAATGCCTGTGGTGCATTGCCCAAGCGGGGAAATCCGTTACAAATAGTTCTTCATACTGGTTGATGGTATCTCAGAGATATTGGTTGAATCACGGTTTTTCTTTGGCTAGTGATTAATGGATATTGAGGGTTGGTGTTATATACATGGTCCAATGGTTGATGCGCCAAGATACCCATGAACAGGGGGCAAAATGTCCGCGCAATGGTTGTTCGACGGATGGCGGCCTGGGGGATGGAGATGATCCGAGTTGTGCCGATGACCAGTTGGGACAGCTGCACGGACAGCGGCACCTTTTCTAGCCAAAAAAAGATGGACTAAAGCCTGGCAAATCGGCAGCTTTGGCCAACTGTTCCAACTGGAATGTTAGAAACCGAGCGAAACGACCCTAGCTTCTCTGGTTGCGGGAAGGGAACCCATAGACATATCAAATGCAATGAAAACAGCTGGATTCAGTGAGGTCTCAAGAAAAACTGTATGGGTTTACCCATTAATGGTAGCAAGCTGGGGGGGTTGCCCCAGTTTCGGACCCATTGGTTGCGATCCAAATTTTGTTGGTTAATGTCCAGTCCCGCAATTCAAAAAGGGTGAAGGCCTTCCATTCCCACAAGACTTTTGTCGAGTGGCAGGGACAGGGCATCTAAAGGTTTGAATGCAATTCGAACGGTGTGTGGATCAGCAAAACCGTGGTTCGACTTGTTTTCACAATAAATATGTGTATATACTTGTGTATATACTTGTGTATATACATGTATATGTATATATATAGTTGTGTATGTATATATATATAGTTGTGTATATGTATATATAGTTGTATATATATATAACAGAACGCCGTTTATGTGATGAAGTTCGGCAGCCAGGGTTTTGCTAGAGGTAACTGAATCCAAGCGCAAGCAGAAGCTTCGCACGGCGCAGCCCTAACCTGCAGTACTTGTAGCTTTCCAGTAGCACGCGCGGTAAGCCTCAGGAGTCTTGAATGCGTGAAACCTTAGCCGCAGCACAGATAGCTGAATTGGTCGGAATGCACAGATTCCCCTATTGGATTACTATAATCCCCAAATCTTTTGGGTATCTGGTATAATCATGTATAATCCCCTATAATTGTTGACCAACGGGGGTTTTGACCCATAACCATATCATCTCAAACTCGTAAGAACTTCATGCTGCCGAAGTGCGCGGCCTTTGGGCCAATGCACTCTGTGAACTGGTTGGGACCTCAGCGGCCGAAGGGCCAAGGTCCGACAAATGAGAAGGCTGGGCAGCCAACTGAGTTTGTATCAATGAATCAAAACCGAAGATGAGACCATCATAGACCATCTCCTCTGGAACATATTGATGTTTCCGAAAATGAGGGTACCATGGGGTACCCCCAAATCATCCATTTTCATGGGATTTTCCCTTGTAAACAATCCAGCTATTGGGCACCCCCGTTTTCAGGAAACCTCCATATATAGATATATCCACAATCCTCAAGCTGAAAGGTCCCCAAACGGAAGCACAGCAGAGCTGTGGAAGAATGTTTTGGTCAAGGCGTCCACCCAGCAGACAAGACTGAGTCTGATGCACATGCCTGCTGGAGGACCTGCCCTTAGTTGCAGTGCCAGCTTTAGACCCAAACCCCAGAATAACAAAGGGTTCGTTAAATGTGTGTCACCAAAAAAAAACAGAAAACATCCAGTTTAAAATTCGACCAGGTAATTTGGGCCTTTCACCACATGAATGGTTTCAGAATAGGGTACCCGGAAACCACTGATTAATCATAATCTTCCCTATCAAGGCTCCCTCGTGCCAGCATCGCGTTCTTCATACCCATATCACAGCCTCGAAGGCCTCAACAAACAGGATGGTGGACAGGGTTCGGTGCGGGATCGGGATAGTTTGGGAAACTCTACAGGAAACCATGTGTTTTCCATGGAATCTAGAGGGTTCCTGACTTTGCCCTTCAACCAATCCAATGACTTGTGTATTTGTTAAGGAGAGAAGGATGAAACAAAGCCAAAACACCACTTAATATTTCAGGGCGAGACTGCAGGTTGCTGTGTTTTTCGGCGCGTGTTTCTCGCAAACTGCAAACATGCAAAATAGTGACATTGCCTTCGAGCCTTAAACAATACCCCGTACTAACGCCGTACTTAAGTCACATCAGGGGGGGAAGTCACAACATCCCCATGTCACAGCGGCGATACAGAAAAGCCACATCAGGTAGTGGAAAGTCACATCAGGGAAGAAGAAACACAATGGCACAGGCTGTTTCAAAAAGAACACCAAATTGACCAAAGCCTAATCCTAAATACACTTTAAAGTAACCCAAAATCAACAACAGTAAATCCTAAATCCACGAAAACAACCCGACCCTAAATGAACAAGTTTTAAACAAACACTAAATAAAGGAAAAACTCTCTACAGAAAGCCTAAACCAAACCTGAGAAAACCTAAAACAATCCTGGCCCTCAATAGACCTTAAACTCACCCTAATGTAACTATATGAACCCCTAATAAAACTTTGGACGAATGTCGGCCCCAGAGGGAAATTATCTACATGTTATCTACATGTATATATATATATATATTTATGATTGTTTGTTTGTTTGTTTGTATGTATGTACAATGTATGTATGTTTGTGTGCTTACTTGCTTGCTTGCTTGCTTGCTTGCTTGCTTGTTTGTTTGTGTGCATGTTTGTATGTTTTTATGATTGTATGTTATGTATATATATATAACAATACATAATATATATATATACATACATACATACATTATGTATATATATATACATTATATGTATATATATATATATTATGTATATATTATATATGTATATATATATGTATATATATATACACATTATATATATATACATTATATATATATGTATATCCTTCATCTGCTGATTCTCCACACTCCAAACATTTTTTACTTGTCAATCGAAAACTCCTGCAGGGCTAGGGGTCTCTGATGTCATAGATCTTAAGCTCCGCTGAGAATGTGGCAAAAGGCGCCATACGCGGGAATGGTCTGAACCTTGGCCAGTCAAAACCACCCACATCCCGAGAATCCGCGATGATGTCCAGTGTCCAGTTACGGGATGGCTTGAAAATCTTTCCACTACGGATCAAAACAGCAGTTCTCCTCCATTGCGTTTGATGTCAGCACCCCACATTCAGTCGCTGGAGGCACGTTCGCAGCCATACATCCTCAGATTCAGAAAGTGTAAAGAGAAAAGTGTCGAAAGCACCAGTCAATGTATACCCACGCCGTTCGCATGTTTCCAGTTGTGAAGGCGACTTCTTCAATGGACATACCTAGGCCCTAGGCATACCTGGCCATACCTGGCTGCTTTTTGAGATGCTGGCCTCTTGTGGAACCCAAGGGCACTCCTTTTTGCGCTCACCTCAACTCGATTCACACTGAAGGGCCTTTTATGCAGATGGACTGGACAGCACTGCAATGCCAAGGGGCTCATGACATATCCAGCTTTCCTGGAGATCACCTGGCAGGTTCAAAATTTTGCAGCGGCCTTGCAAAAGAGCCACAAATCAGGATTGGTGACTAATGTGACTCCAAAATGATGAAAAAGTGATCGATGCCCAGCCTCGAGTCCTCCGTAGAGGCCCATAGCACAATTGCTTAAGAAGGATCCTAAGTGAAAGGAAACTCGCACAGCTGGCATGGTTTCGAGAATGACCAGCTTGCTACCTTTGGTATATTCTTTCCGGTCAAATGGGTTTTGTCTGAAAATGGGATGTAGATTGTAGATGGGCATACCCCCAAAAAAAAAATGCCATTTTCATATTTTCATGGGGATACTGAAAACATCTGAGAGCAATCCACTGGAATTAGGGTAGCCGGTACCCTAGTTTCAAACAGCACCATCGGGGATTCATGGGGTCACAGCCTGAGTTTGGCACCGGTTGGCTGATACCAGCTATTCACAAAGGGCGTATGGACGAGAGCGCCTCTGAGACTCGCAGGAAGAAATACCTGACAAAACACGGCATCAAGAAACAACCAAATATGCTCAAGGCTGAAGGAAGTATCAGTAACTATATCAAGGCAAACTGGAAAAATATGGAGAGTGCCATTGCTTTTTGGTTAAAGTTTGTGCGAAGTGCTGGAAGCATCAAGCTCTTGTTTGGCCAAGATGCGGTGTCTGCATCCGTCTTCACGATCCTCAATGAAAGCATATGAAAGCTGGGTTTGGATCCCCGAAAGGACAATGCGCTGGTGCAAATCAGAGGAAGCACCATGAAACCTGACAAGATCTCAGTGTAGCTTCCCACTGCTTCCAAGACTCCAATCATGCTTCTTCCAACGCGGATCCTGTTCAAAAGCAACGCGACTTCAAGGTGGGGGTGCGTTCACATCTGCAACAAATCTGAAGAAGATTTCCCCTCGCAGGAGCCAAGGCTGGGACGTTTAGGACAGCGTCCCAAACAATTGTGAACACCTTTCCAAATGTCGCCACTGCAGAAAGCTGGTGGATCTCTCCCATGAACCAACTCTCCAGAGTTCTAGACATGTCCCTCGCTTGACGTTTCAATGTCCAAACAATGTGTGGATATATTTGGTCATGTCATTGCGACGGTCGGTTTCAATGCCAAACAGAATCCAGGATTGTAAGATTTAAGATTTCGACAAACCTTTCTTCGGTTTGTTTTTGTTGAACTGAGGTGGTCACCTTGGTATTTGCTGCTGACCAAGGGCCAGCAGCGCCAGCACCACCTGCCCATGTGGGCGTGGGCTGCTTATCGCCTCATGGGCAGCAGTTTCTCGGTCAGGGGGGCTTAGGCACTGCAGTCTGAGGCAGAAACACCAAAGGTTCACATTCCACAGAACCTGGGCCAACACTGCTGTCTTCCCGTTAGAACAGTAAGAATGGCGAAAAACCAGCCGTATGGTGACTGCAATCTGCAAGCGTGTGCGCAGCGACGAGGAAGTGTGTCAAGGCTTCGATTGGCACAAGCATTGCTAGATATTATTGTATCTATTAGTGTGTATATGTATAGTTTATAATATATATATATGTATATATATATATACCAGTTGTATATTGGTTGCGATTTTGTTTGGTCAGGCACTGGCTCCTGCTCTGCCATTCCGCTGTTGCTCGGTCACCAAAGTCCTTTCTTTTTCACCTCAGCCTCGGGCACTAATCGGAGTGCCCCATACCTGGCAGTGGAAACAGGTCACGCCCTTCAAGGTGGCTACAAGCCTAGCTGCCCTAGCGCAAGCAACTTGAAGTAAACGACAGAAATTCCTCAATTGCTGATAGAATGGCAAAGGTTCTGGAAATTCAAGAAAGGCTTGAGAGCACAATTCCACAATGTTCTGGAAACTTTAGTGAACTTTTGTCTCTGAGATCGATCACCCCTGGCCCTGCCTTCCCTGGGACATTGCTAAAGATGGCGTGGTCGTCGCAGGCAAAGAGGCTTGTCTGGTCGCATCGCAACATGTGCTCGCGACTCAAACTTCCATTTCAGGCGGTGGAAGGATTTAAGCAGAACATTTACAATGTTTCTATAGGTTTCAATGAAAAAGGAGGTTTCCAACAATGGGATGGAAGAATGGATGCTCAATTTTCAGGCAAGCCCATGCCTGTCTCCCGCCATGACTTCACACATTTTCACACTTAGACGCTTTGCCTTCAACTGTGCTGCAGTCTCGAGAAGGCCTAAGCTACAATGGGAGATCAAAAAAAACTGGTGTGGATCTTGGCTTTGGCTAACTGATAGAAAGGGCTTTGCGGATGCAGTACGTGGACAGCCTGAGGACTTCTGAAGTTTTGCCTGTCCCACAGCTGGGCTCACCCACCCCTTTCCGGACCGTTGGGAATCATCAAGGCGAAGCAGAACAGGCTTGGCGCCCTGACCACAACAAACATGGCATCGACTTAACTGCGCTGAGAAGCTTCCTTGCTGAGTGCGGGGCTTAGACACTGTGGCACTAGAATTCCAAGCAGGAGGAGCCTAACATCAGCCAACAGCCAGGCAATCCGTTGGTTTCTCCTTTAATATTTTAATGAATGGATATCAGGATCCCATTTGATGGCAATTCTTTTGTGGAAAATGATGATAAACTATGGCTAACTATGGGATGGAATGGAGTTCTACATTTTGGGACAGCCCTCCATGAGAATGACAAACAAGCTCTTGGTGCAAGACTGTTGTCGTGGTTGTCGTCGTGGTCGTGTTCTTAGTCGTGCTCTTGGTCGCGTTCGTCTTTGGAGCTGCTTTCGCTGAAGTCTTATTCACCTCATCGAGACCGGCGAAGCTGTAGGGATTGAGGCCGAGATTTTGGCTCCTAACGGAGTTCTTAACTTAACCATTCTTCATCTATGCAGCTTTATATGTAGCCGTAATATAGCTGTCTGATTCCGCCACTGCGATGACCTTGGCCTTTTCTGCCAGGTCGAGGTATGGCCTCGCTGGGTTTTTGGCAGAGATGAGGAGGTCTTCATTCTTGGTTCAAGAACAAAGTTAATCAAGTGGTGAAATAAGCAAACAGTTGGCTGGTTAGTATATAAATTATAATCTTTGTGAAATAATCCAAAGTTTGTTCAAGCTTCCAGATTGTTTTTGAATTGATGTTCGGATCATTTGATCATGCTGCTTCTGCATACATCCTCAGAACAAATATAGTCACAACACTAAAAATGACCATTCTTGACCATTCTGATGGTCGATCGGTTTTGGGGTACACCCTGATCCTGGGCCCTTGACAAGCCGGTCATTTCTGGAACGTCGTCAGAATTCTCGGCAGTGCAATGAGGGCAATGGAGGAGTTTCTACACCACTTTGTGCTGGAAAGGATTGCAATCCAATGATACAGAACCTGTTCTTGCAAACTTGGAGCAGTGGAAACGGACTCCTTTCATTTCGACATCATACAGGCAACATTCTCTGGGCACCCTCCAGTCGCCTGAATGCGCGAAGCTGTCCTGAAGATGCGCTGGGGAAGATCTCAAAGGGGTGAGAAACCGATATGTGCCATGGTCGAAACATGATAACATCGTAATACAGGGATGTTTTGGGGGGTATGGTAATCCATCCCACAATGGGGATCCTTATATATAATCGGTATATTAATCACTATCGTTCGATGGATTGGTAAACCCTTCAGTCCTGCTGGGAAAAGAAGACTGTCCTGTGCGAAGGCAATAAGAAAACAGACAAAAGCTGCAGTGCGTGTTGAGACTTCAACATGCTGTTGAAACAACCATAAATTTGGCCGTTTCCAGATGGATGGGAAACCCATTTTATTAGCCACATTGACAGCTGGGAGGCCTTCAGGTCGCAGCGTCAGGCTGAGCCCAAAAATACCTTTGCCATGGACCCCATGGGCTGCTCGGATGCGTCTCTCTGCGTTTCTGCATCGCATGGCTCGGGTCTAAGTTTAGGTCAGGTCAATTTCTGCATCTATTCGAATAGCTTAACAGGCTTAACATTAAGTCTCAAGCATCTTGGCCAAAGCTCTTTCTTTGCCACAAGAAGCATGTGCCACCAAGGCTCCCAAACAAAGAAAGGCAATGGTCACTACAAAGCGTTGGCTCACACACCTAAACCACGGCTTCCTAAAACACAACAAAAGGCTGCTTGAGAAATATAATAGGGGAAAAATGATCAAAAAAAGTAGTCTGCGGGTTTCTTCGTGCACCTAAGTATGTGTTTCAGCTGGAACGCCACCGTTGTATGTAATAAATATTATTTCAAAATTCTGTGCCGCAAACAGAATTCAATCCACAAGCGAGACGAGGAGAGACCAAGATTTAGTTCCCTGAATCTTCAGTTCTGACTTGCTGCGAGGGAAAAATCAAACAAAATGAGGTTGATCCAGCTTGCGGGTTGCTTTTTCTGTCTATGTGCAGTCAGTAGTACAGGTAACTATTAATACCGATTCTATATTACCAAAGGTGATCCGAGACCGAAGCAAAATTGAAAAAGCAAGGTCTGGCCTTCTGAATCTGTGTTGTTCCAGGAAGCTTGTCGGTTCCTCACCACAAAATTCCTCCAGGCCAGTGACTGACGATGGTTTCTGTGCCCTACACAAAATGACAACACGAAGAGCAAACATACCCTTACTTGCCCGACAACCACAAATGCTCTCATCTCATCTCATCTCATCTCCCTACCATTGAACAATGACAACAATGTGGATCCTTACAGGACCCCGCAACGCACATGGTGTCAACAACCTGGACGCCCGGCCTCCGCAGTAAGAGTTCTGAGCATCTCCTGCGACTTCATAGTTTGGCTCTGGAAAACAAGGAGTGCACCACTTGGACAATTTATCTGCTTCCGCAAAGTACCCATGCAGGTCTCCCCTTGAGGCAGAGTATGCATTGCAAAGCTCATTCATTGCAGTCCTCTGAGTCCTCTGCATCATTTCCTTGAGATGAAATGCTTAGAAAGGATAGATCTTTGATGATCGTTGTAACAGCTGCGCAGCTATTGTCGATGGAGGTGTACGCAGTAGCACTTTGTCTAGATTTGTTCAAAAGACAAAAACTTTGTTCCTGTCCAAACTGAGAACATGAAGGGACCTCAACGCCAGTCCACCACATTCAGATTCCAGGAGGAATCTTGAGCCCAAACGTACGGTATGTCGTTGCTTGCCGCTTGGTTCCCTTGGGCTGTGGGGGGCTCGAAGCACGTCCTTTTGCAGTGGAGAGAGTGCACATTAAAACGGAGTTGCGTTTTAGATTTGGTCTTGATGAACCTCAATTCGTTGTTGCAGTTGCGTTTGAGGCTCGTTCCCCTTGCAGGTATTTTCTTAGCTGCAAGTCCTGGAGGAATGAAATCTAGCTCCAGAACAAAAACCTATGAGTTGTGAAGCTGCTTTGAAATGGTTGAACATGGTTTAACAGTTTAACCTGCAATGTTCTCATACCCCCTATCAGTGCCATTTTGTGCGAGTAGCATGGAGTACCAAAGCCGAGGGTCTGCTTGGATCCTCCATGGCTCTCGCCAGTTTCGTCGGAACTATCAGTGAGCCAAACAGCTTGCAAGTGCCAGGCAGCTTGAGAGCCACACGGTTCTACCGAGCCTGAAGACATCAGAAATGGACCAAGCACTGTTCGCTTATCACTCAGCACTCAGCACTCAGCACTCAGCACTCATCAACATCTTCATCATACTCATTAACAATACTAAACATCATCACCGTCGTCATCATCGCAACCACCACCACCACCATCAGTGTCGTCACCGCCATCGCAAGCATCTTTCAATCAACCCAACAGGGAACGTGAGACCGATCGCCTCTAGCTACGGATGCTATGGTCACCTAACTGGGTGTCTCCAAAACCAGGGGGCCAAAACGGCCAAAACCTCAAACATCATTACCCCATTTTATTAATGGCCATGTGTCGCAGTATCCCCCATTTTGACCCTCCATTCTTTGTGGGGGTCAATGTCCCGTCTCGCTGAGCTCCCCTTACATGGATGGCATCTTCTGGCACGTCCTCGTTCTCGAGATACACCTGGCACACAAAGCTAAAGCAGTGACCCATTGTGTCAGGTGCAGAATTTGAGTATATTGGGTAGCATAATCCCCTATATAACCCTATAATCATCAACCAACCAGGGTTTTGAACACTGCTCATTTGTTGAGGCAACTTTTCGCGCACTGACAACTCTGCATCCTCATTCTGCTTCACTCCGCAATTCTTGACAAGTTGAACTGACGTAGAGCTAGGCTTGTGCTACTGAGTACTGGCAGACACTCAATGGCCAAAAGCATCCCTTTTCTTTCACCAGGCCCAACCTCTGCAAACTCATCATCAAGATCGGCAAGGGTCTCCAGGAGATTTGCTCGATGCTCAGCTACCTCACCAGAGCAGCTTGACGTCGGCTTTTTCTGCTGCCTTTGCGGCTCCCAATTCTGGGGACACATCCAGTAAATGGCTTTGTCTGAAAATAGGGGCAACCCTAAATCCACTGGTTAACGGCCACACAATCATCATTATCCCGCTCCAAATTTAAATGGCAATTTAAGTGGGTATACCGCACTTTCAGAGACACTCAAATGTTCACACGACTTCTGACACCGGAAATGACCTTCTCCTTCATATTGTCGGGGATCTCGGCAAAGCGTCGACCTTGTGGCAACCCACGACGCAATGGCACAATGGCACTGGAGGCTAAAAATGGGGTTGTCAGGGTGCCATAGCTTGGTTGGTAGTTGTCATCTAACCATCCAACATTGATCAGATTTTCGAGTGTGAGTCGCTGCCGACAGGTCAGAATGGTGCATCATGCTAAATAGCTGTCTTTTCCGACTCCAAAGCCCTGGCTGATACCATCCTTGCCCTCGAAAAAGCTGGCCTTGGCTGTGCAAAGCCGAAAAAGATGAAGCTTCAACTAGTCTGCCCATACTACTGGTGCCTAACCGCACTTGTTAAACAAGTAATCATCAGCATTTTCATACAATTCGGTGTGTACTGTGTACATGTCATTCTTAATAAATTCCCCAAGGTTTGCCCATTGTGCACCAATCCTCCAATCCATTTGGGTTCCCTCTGAGGCGGCAGCTTGTTGGGACACTAAATCACAAATACCTGCGCAGGCGGCAGCTTGTTGCCCTCGAAGCTTGTGAACAATTGAGCTTGGCGAGGTCAGCAACGCAAAACAAGCTTGAAGGCACCCTGCGAACAAAAGGTTATGATTGGGATATTGTAGGTATTTGAACAATCCAGTCATAGCTGAGAACATGAAATGACTCTTGGGCTTTTTGGTCTCAATCACTGAATTGAATCACTTGTCCTCAAGAAGGCGTAAGCGCGTAACCACTGGTGCTGCACCACGCCTTTGAAGTTGTCCTCCTCCCCAATAGGCAGCTGAACAGGCTGAACAGTGAGACCTGGTCTCAGCAAACAATCCATGCCAAGATCACCATTTTGTCATATTACACCCCTGCAAAACAGCTGCTACGAGTACCTCCTCAAGCTTGAGATTATCACGGAAAGACACGCACTGGAATCTCACATCCCAAGACTCATATGCCACGTATTCTGTTGCATCTTCGTCATTTCTGCAGGGTACTGTAAAGAAAATGACAGCAGCTCTTGAGGCTACAACCTAGTTTTTTTCGAATCTGTCCCAGCACCTTCCAGCTCGGACCGATTCATGTCTGTGAAGTAGCCAATGGCAGGAATCATTATATCAGTGATAAGCATCATAGTCATGATCAAGGAACTCAACATCAACATCAGCTTTAACATCAATGCCAGCACAAACAACACAAACAACAGCAAATAACACCAACAACTTAAACAACGAAAAACAACGCCAACAACATCGATTCGACATCAACATCAACATCAACATCAACAACATCAACATCATCTACTTCCGTGACAGATTGTTCATGGTCGTGAGTCATGAAGCACAGTATCTGAGTATCCTGGCCAAGAAGGGGTCCGAGCCATAACGATCAAGCTTGTTGATGAAGATCACACGAGGCACCTCTCACGACAGATCATCCGAGGTGGATTCTGTCTCAATCCTATGTCTCTGCCATCACAGTATTCAAAAAAAGAGTTCAATGATGTTTTTTAATGGATTTGCAGGCTTCACCCAAGTGTGCCCAGTCTTTCAACCATTTTGATCCATTTTGGGCTTCCACCTGGTTGGCAAATTGACAAAGTGAGGCGCCTCATATCGCTTCATCTGTCTATCAACAGTGATGGTTTGGCTCTGGACCTTAGCTGCAAACATCTTAGCTGCTTTTGCGGGTGGTGTCTGGCTGGGTTGGAGTCTATTGTAGTTCGAACTCGCCCCAGCAATCTGAACTTGGAGTGCACAAGAGTCACCTTAGACCTTGGCCCCTCCAACACCGCAGCAAATCAGAACAGCTCCATCCAGGACGCGCAAAGCCCGCTCGACCTTCGCCAGAGGAACCCTGCTGGATTCAAGGCCACAGCGACCATCTGTTGTCATCTCCATTTGTCCACCGGTTCGGCCTGTCATTCAACAAAATCACCGCGCCTCAATAGTGAAATCAACGTGGCCAGGCGTGTCAATCAAGTTCATGTGAAAGTCCTTGAATTAAGCAGGACTCGAGACGTTCCATATTAATAGTATTAATATGAATCGTTCGGTATTGAAGAGCATTTCTTGGAAGTTTGGCAAACAATGCATCCACCAAGCTTGAGAGCGAGCGTTGATGTGAAATTTCATCCCAGAGAGCACTTCGACAAAGCTACGGGCCCAGTTTGCACTCCTTGTCGTCAGCTCTCCACGAGCAGAAAGTGGCAGCAGAGGTGATGGTGATACCTGCCAGCAAGCTTTGTAACTCCACCAATATCTGCACCTTCGCTTCACCCCACGGTTGTTCAGACAATGAAAAGGGCAACTTCTAGGAGAAAAGATCTCCCTTCCATCAATGCCGATGCCGTCAGATTCGGAGACAAAAAAAACAAGGCTTCGCCGGCGCCATCTTTCGGTCCTTTCTGATCCACCGCCAGAAGCATATGCTGCCAGTCTACAGCAATCACCGTAACCGTCAGGCGAAGGCCAGCAACCCCAGCTCTTCCTCCTCAAGGTCCTGGTGTCGTGGCTCCAAAAATCTCACTATTGATCATCATTTCCCCCGTCAGAATAAATGGGTTTTCGCGTATCCATTTTATATCCCGTTAAACTCTGTTTGCATATGTAGGCAATAGACAGATAGGATAGGACGGGATAGGATGTGCGAGGATAGGAAAGATTATATATATATAGAATAGATTATAGAGCAAATTAAAGAATACACTATAGAATATAATAAATTATAATGATTATAGAATAGATTATGGATTGGATAGATAAGATAGATTAGATAGAATTGAATGGAATAGAATGGAATGGAATAGAACAGAAGAGAACAGAATACAATAGCATAGCATAGCATAGCATGCAATAACATAGAATTGCATTGAACTGCATAGAAATGCATAGAATAGCATAGCATAGCATCGAATAGAATGGAATAAATAGAGCGATGGATGGATGGATTCATAGATTGATAGATTCATAGCTAGATAGATAAATAGAAGATTAGATAAATAGATAGATAGATAGATAGACTAGATAGACTAGATAGACTAGATAGACTAGATAGACTAGATAGACTAGATAGATTAGATAGATTAGATAGATTAGATAGATTAGATAGATTAGATAGATTAGATAGATTAGATAGATTAGATAGATTAGATAGATTAGATAGATTAGATAGATTAGATAGATTAGATAGATTAGATAGATTAGATAGATTAGATAGCTTAGATAGATTAGATAGATTAGATAGATTAGATAGATTAGATAGATTAGATAGATTAGATAGATTAGATAGATTAGATAGATTAGATAGATTAGATAGATTAGATAGATTAGATAGATTAGATAGAAGATAGATAAGATAAGATAGATAGATAGATAGATAGAAAGATAGAAAGATAGATCGATAGATCGATAGATGGATAGATGGATAGATGGATAGATGGATAGATGGATAGATGGATAGATGGATAGATGGATAGATGGATAGCTGGATAGATGGATAGGTAGATAGGGAGATAGACAGATAGACAGATAGACAGATAGACAGATAGACAGATAGGTAGGAATATAGATAGATTGATAGATTGATAGATAGATAGGTAGATAGGTAGATAGATAGGTTCCCATTTCAGCACTTCTTCACAGCCCCCCTCCTTCAAACCCCCAGCTCTGTCCACGGCAGTATCCAGGAAGGGCTGCCGCCTCTGGAAGAGCAAGCCTAGGACAAAATCACCGCTCCGAGGATACACTACAAATGGCACGAAATATGGGGGTTTCCTAAAATGGAGGTACCCCCAAATCATCCATTTTAATAGGATTCTCCATTATAAACCATCCATTTTAGGGGTACCCGCATTTATGGAAAACCCCATATGATGATTCCTCATGATTCAAATGTCCACAACTCTCCAGTGATTGGCCCTATCCATCAATGTTTGACGTCGCTCAAGTAGCCTCGAGCAAAGACAAATACGAAGACGGCGATGAAAGCCCAGTTCGCCAAGAAGTAGGCGATGGAGAAGATCTTGGAGCCACACAGAGAAAGAATGGGAAAGACTGAAAAATATGAAAAATGGAGGATTTGGAGGTCAGAGTGTCTCCATCGGTCAATTCAAAAAAAGAAACAAAAAGAACCGATAAGATGTACACTGCCATGGTCTCTCACCAGTGCACGGCCAAACCTGACCCAATTCTGTGGCTCCAGCTGGCATGGACAAGGCCTCGTGATGCTCAAAGCCCACGGACAGGGGCAGAAGTTGCGTGCAAAAAACACCCCTGATGGAGGAAATTAACTTGGCAGCAAGTAAATCCTTCAATACCAAAACTTCACAAGCCGAATCAGAAGAGGCTGCCAGTTGAGGCTTCTTTTCTTTTATATGTTTGCCTTTGATCGGACCCTATGTCAAGTTGAACCAGTATCAACATCAACAATTCTTACCAACATGGCAGAACTCTCTGCGACCATCGCTGTCATTGGCTTGCTACAACGACTAAAGCAGAGACGTCCATGCGAAACTAGCCCAAAGGTAACAGAATTATGGCCATCAATGAAACATATAGTGCAGAACTGATATATAGGTCATGCGCTTGTCCTTTTCAAAGCGTCAACTAGGCCAATCTGCCGCCATTCTAGTTTAGTAAAAATCCACCTCAGCCATCCTGGAAATATTTAAGTTGTGATTTTTTTCTGATTTATTTCTGTTTTATTTCTGATTCGAAAAAGTGCCTGGAAAAAAAATGAAAAAAGTCTGAAAAAGTTTGACAAAATCTGAAAACAAATTTGAAAAAAAAATAACAAAAAATTGAAAAAGACTGTTTTTTTCTGAATTTTGAGGAAAACATCGTTTTTCCGGCCAGGAAAAGGAAGAAAAACGAGGGAAAGTAGCGAATTTTTCCCAGAAATCTGGGGAAAGAGCCCTGGTAGGCTCCAAACCCACCATTCCCTGTAAATACCAATGAATTTCTCAAAAAAATCTGGACACATTCGGAATTTTGGAGAAAAAGCGTACTATTTTGGCTCGGAAAAGGAAGAAAAACGAGGAAAAGTAACATGTTTTTGAATTTTTCCCAGAAATCTCGGGAAACAGCCCTGGCAGGCTCCAAACTCACCATTCCCGGAAAAAAAAGAATGATTTTTTCTGAAAAAAATCTAAAACATGTTTTTAATTTTGGAGAAAAACAATATTTTTCTAGATTTTGGCTAGGAAAAGGAAGAAAAGTAGCATGTTTTTTGATTTTTTCGCAGAAATCTGGGGAAGCAACCCTGGCAGGCCTGGCAGGCTCCAAACCCATCAAACAACAAACAGGGATCCAGAATCCATACATATTTCAAGAAATAATCAAAAATATGTCAGAAATATTTCAGACATACAGTATTTCAGAAATATGTCAGACATATTTCAGAAATATTTCAGACCCAGAACCAAACCAATATTGGGGCGTCAGAAAAAAGACAGAAAACAATTCAGAAATTACATAGTTCTGGATTCCTTCACTTTAGGCTGGTGGGATTTCACTATTCTAGTTTTTGACACTCAATTCCACAAGCTGACACAGGTCAACCGGTTTGCGTACAAGTTGTGCATATTCTCAGTGCAGTGCATTGACATCGAAGCAATGGCCAAGGTCCAGACAATCTGTGTAAAGAACGTGGCAATCACTGATACCTGTCCGACCATTCAACGCCCGCGGTGGGCAAAATGCTCGACTTCCACACCTCTGAGATCTCTGAGGCAACTGGGTCAGACTTGCAGTGTTCGCAGTGACTTCAGAAAGCACTCAATGCCAGAAACAAAAACCCTACGGCCAAGAGGCAAGCCGGTAAGCTCCAAAGAAACAAGACATTCAGACATCACTCCATCAATCCTGGTCACCGTGATCGCCTGGCAACGGTACCTCTGGTCTTCATTGACAGATCCAAGACTGCAGCGAGATGCATTGGATCCACCTTGGTAGGGGCAAATGCAGGATTTCCGAAGCAAAGTTTTGAAACGGTCAGAACAATATACCGTATATGCCTATAGACTATACAGATATGGACATGTCTCAATATGATGCATCCAAAATAAAAGGCTGTAGGTTTTTTTGAAGAAAAGTAACACGAGGCAAAATTCATTAACTTGAGGCATCCACTCTTTGGTCTTTGAGACCCAAAGGCCGTATAGTCTGGAGCTATGGTAAGGAGGGCAACACCTTAGGAGGCTCACCACTTCGAATGCAACATGCGAAGATTCTTTGTCTGAAAATGGATCAGAATCCCTGAGTCCTGTGCAGAGGGCCAGCAAGATGTAAGCCATGGTGTTGCACATCACCAGCCTGAAATGCGTATTGTCTAAGTTGAGGTACCTATGGACTAATAACCAAACAAAAAAATGGTGGTTATGTCAAAGTATAAGTATGAATGACATTATTATTATTATCATTATTATTATTATCATTTTTGTTGTAGTTGTTATCGTCATTGCTTTTTCATCGGTGTTGTTTTATACTCTTTTGCTTGTTGTTATCATTCTTGTTGTTGTTGCTGCTGTTGTTCTTCTTACTGGTCGTAAACCATCCATGCTCTTCGCCGAGTTGCAAGGCTTGGGGTGCGGATTTCCGCGCCCGCAAGGTGTAGACACTGATGCACAGCAAGCGAATGTCCAAGGCGATGATGCCTCATTGAACGGAACGACGGAACGGGATGGCGGATCTCAGGTGGGAACCCAGCCCAAAACCAAAAACATCATGGCCAGATATGGCCAATGTGATCAGAAATGGTTTGTAGAAACTATCGCCAATTATATACAATTAGGTAGATATCGTGCTTGCCAAATTATCCACTGCTTACAGCATGTTTCCACTGTGTTTCCACTAGGAGTACAAGAGGAAAGTCTGTATTTGGCATCTCGATCTCTCTAGGCCGGCAGGAACAGAATCAACAGAATTTACCGGCAATATCCGGCAATCCCTGGAGCAGATGGACCGAAGAGAGTAGCAGCAAAAATGTACAGAACCTCAGACGTGCCAACGGTCTGTCACTCAGGTAGAGATGATCAGAAATGTAGACTGAGCTCGGAGCAATGAGGCTGAGAAAAACAAAATCAACTGGAAAAACGCGCGAAAGGCGCAAGTAGACCTCGCAAATTCCAGAGTTACTACTACACAACAAACATCTCTTTTGTCCCAGAGTCTAATTAATCAATCAGTAGCGTAGCGGTAGCGCATGATTTCGTTCTGCAAGTTCAAAACTCTTGGAAGCTGAGGACAATACAACCAGGGACAAACAAAATTACAATAAATAAACAAATATCCAGTGTCATCCAGGGTCATAAGTTTCCAAGCCTCGTCGGCTGGGTTGTAGATGCGACGCTCCTGAATCACCGGGCCAAACCGATATTTCACAAAATAAGCTTTGCTCTCAAATACGACACCTCCGTTCCTGTAACACCCCCTCCTTACGATTTATATCGATTTATCACGATTTATCATTGACTTGAAGCCTGTACAAAGGCAATTGGAAAGTACACTTGATTATTTCCATTATTTGGCAGTGTGTCAAAACCAATAGTACCCCTGTAGTTCACATCAAAATAGCTGGGATTTATGGATGTTCATTCCCCTAAAAATGGTATTTTCATAGGTATTGATCCATACCCATTTCTCTTTCACTTGCGCTGCAAAACGTAACGGACTCTTTGGACTAAGCTTTACAGAGACAAAGCCTTGAAAAAAGGCCCCAATTCTGTGGGGCGCTGTCCTGCAGGGTGTAGCCGCAGCTCCATCCACAAGGAGAATGCAACCAGCGATCCACCAAGGTTAACAGCAGGGAAAAAACCACCAGAAGGCTCAGCGACATCATCACTGCACCTGACACAATGGACACAATTCCAAACATCATTGGCAAACATCATACTTCAATATACTTCATACTTCATCATTTCATAGTCATTTCAATTCATTTCATACTTCATCTCCCTTCATTCTCCTGAAGAAAAAATATATACTGACTCGAAAGCTTTCACAGTGCATCTTGATGCATCTTGTACAGTACACACCAGTGCCTATGAGCAACCGGAAAGGAATCAAGCATCGCCTGAGCCGTGAAATCAAGCATTGCATCTTCCCAATTTCTGCTTCAAGCGCCGCTTCAGGCGTTGCAACCCAGTTGCAGCAGCTGGGGAATGCAAGTGCCAGCCCGGTGCTCCACCTCTTGCAGCCTCGATGCTTTCGATGTCCCAAACCATCACTGTTTGTCAGAATGCGAAGTACTGACCAGGTTTTGTGAAGTATACAGCTAGTATAGCCCAAATACATTGGTGAATCGTGCGTCCAACTCACCATAAAATATCATAAACTCGGAAACTCGGAAATCCATTCCTCGAAGGCCGGGCAGCCTGTAGTTGTGCTGCATCAGGTTCTTGTGTTCCCGCTGTAAACGGCTCAACTCTCTTCTGTCGGCAGCCTTCATCCTTGCAGCCAGCACACGGACAGCTTCGAGGCTTCAAATGGAAGCCGGTTCCGATCTAAGGAATTTCATCCCAAAATATACCCCCTATGACTGAGCCCCCAAAATGAACCGAACCAATAAATATCATGCCTTCTAGGGGGTGTTTAATAAAGTTAAGCGCTCCTCGAAAGGTCCAGCGACCCATCTTCGCGGGCGGAATAACGGGACCTGGAACGGAGGGTCGATGTCCGGTCCTTCCAAACGCTTCACAGCTGGGGCTTCGGCTGGATGGAACGGTACCGATCCTCAGATTTGAGAGTTGAGGAAAGCCTCTGCAAAAGATGATACTGAAATCATTCAAACTATCTGCCACAAATTCTAGCAAAAAAAAATTAAAAAAAACTGAAACGCTGATCTGAATGTTAAGATAGGTTAAGCGTCGCGTATGCTGGCGATGGAGGTTTCCACATCGTGACGCTGCTCAGAGGGAGTCTGCTTTCCCCTGCCCAGTGCGGACATTGGGGCAACGAAACATCCGAATCTGTCACAGCCTGCCTGATCCAGTCAAAAGGCATGGCAGCAAGGCCATAAGCTGTATACATGGCCTCATTGCGGCGGCAAAAACACTGCGCCGAGTTATGGATACGTGTCTGTTCCGCCATCTGAAGCCTGTGCCAAGTCACCCAGCCAAGCACACCAGCTAGCGTCAAGCACGCAATGGCAAAGGAGATTGCATTCAATCCTGAAAAATAAAAGCTTCTGTGCTCAGACTGCGAAGACTTGCAGGGCAAAGTCACATCACATTGCAGCTGCTAGGCCTCTGTGCTGAACATCCAGCAAATCATTCAGCCACCTGAATGATGCCAAGGTTGAGGAACGTATGATGAAGGAAACATCCTTCTCTGACTCCGTTGCAAAGAACCGAAACTCCTTGCTGGTCAAAAAATCACCACATGACTATGAGTCAAACGTGGGGGACAAACTTAAACGGGCCTAGAAATTTGGTGGTTTTGACTACCGGGGTCAATGATTTTGACCTATACTGACATTACCCCTCACCATGCTTGCATGGCAATGTTTGGCCTTGCCTCACGGCGCTTTCCTCACTTTGTAGGGCGCGGTCCAGGCTCTCTTTGTGACCGGGACGAAAGTTTAGGCTGATGATGAGAAGAGCTACTACCTCAGCACATCAAAGAAAGTTGCTGAAGTTGCTTCTCAAGGAATACATACATACATACATATATATATTATATATAATCTATAAATAATGATATATATATATATATATTATATATATAATCTTACTTCTTTGCAGCAAGATTAAGAAACAGCTAACCTTATTTTACTATGTAACCAGTCCACCATCAATGCCAAGCAACAAAGGCAACGAAGAACCCAGTGGAGCGCATTGCCTTGATAGGGAAAGTGGCTGCTGTGGGGTCAAAGCTCTAGTACCCAATGAACATCAAAATAGCTGGCATTCATGGATGTTCGTCGGCCCAAAAATGGTGCCATCGGCATTGACCCAGCCGATCTGATTTGATCAACAACTTAACGGGATGATGATCATCCTAGACGTGATCATTAATATTATGGAACACTATTATCATATCTCCATTATGATTAACGATCCAGCTAGAACACTATTTTATCCTGAGACAGCTGTGGCTGGGTCACGTTCCAACATTGAGACTTCTCCAAGAATGGATCATCACGGAGCGGAGGTTTTTCCTCGAGGTGTGGGACGAATCGAAAGTAGATCACACGGAAACCCTCTAATCTATACATATTCCAGAGCAGCAACTCAAACAAGCAAGAACGCTGAGTGGTGGCAGCTGGGCTCCTACTGTACCTACTAGTAAATACTCAACTTTCTACCTTATTCATACTGGAGGATATGGAATGGCACTATACCTCTGGATTGACTTGGCACAGTCTTCGAGCCTACCGTGTCTATTGCGTCCCTGTCAACCCACCACGATGAAAAGCGTTCTGACCATGAGATCCATCCAGGAGATCTCACAGGACAGGAGTCCTCACCGTAGAAGTACGCATAGGGTACCAAGAAGAACCTTGAAATCACAATGGGATGCTGAAACAAACATCTGAGTCATCTGAGCTTCTGAAAGAAACAAGTCAACAGTTTCCCCTTCGCTGAGTCGTGGACGCAATGAAGAGAAGTGATGAAAACAAAACCAAGTAAGCATCACGCACATGGTCCTGCCAGCAGGGTTGCTGCAGATCAATGTCTTTCTAAACAAACAAACCTCTGCAAAATCCTCCCACAATGTTCGCCAGGAACAAGGATCTTTGTTGCTGTGGATTCAGCTGTTCGATCGTCCTGCGAGATGGTCACGTGCAAAGACTCAGAAGTGATGTTTCCTCGGTGACAGTGGAGATCTCTCGCCGATCAGCTTGCGATACTTTCATGATCAACTCAATTTCTACAGCATCTATGGGATCCTTGGCAACTATGGTATCTATATAGCCACACATCAAAATGCACAGGCTGCATGCATGCTTTGAATCATTCTTTTTTTGCAGTCCAAGCACCTTCTGAGATGACATAAATGTCAACCTTGGGCATACAAGTCAGCAGAAAATGGCTAGACTTCGATGTTGAACTCCAATCTTCGAATCTTCAATGTTCAGCCAAGACACTGGAATAATCAAAGTACACAAAATCCCCACTGTTAGAGAGAGAATCACAGTCACCATGGCCAGAAAGTATGACTTTTCCCTTGGTTGCAGGCTATGAAAGTTCAAGTTTCCCCACCAAGCGGTGATGCAAAATGATGCAAACACCAAAAAAAATCTCAGGTGGCAAACCGGCAAACCGGCAACCAATGGACCAAGATCGGTCAGGTGTCGGATCTACAAAGTAGTGATAGATGATGTAGCTCAGCCTCGGATCCGGAAAAGCAAGGCCGGAAAAGGCCGAGCCGAACCCAAGGCCTAAAGGATTCAGGCTCTGCTTCGGCAAAGCTGCATGCACTTTATGCCATTTATGCATCTATATGCACGGTCCGTTCCCTGATCTCAACATGAATCAGCATGAATCAGCATGAATCATGGCATCCGCATCCATCAAAATCTGAGTGTTTGTGAGTTTCACTACTGATGCAGTTGCCGTATTCTTTGGATCGGCTGGAAACCTGATACAGCGTGATGCAGCTGAATCAAAAGGAAATCCGACAAAATCTCTCCAGCTGCCAGAAGTCATCATCCAATGCTTGTCATGTTTCCACTTACAGTATCATCGTGTCAATCATTCTCCATCTAATGCATGGCTGACTGTAGATGCCCTGCAAAAAAAAAAAAAGAAAGAACAAATCGTCTTGTAATATAGCATGATGGTATGTTGTTCGTGGCAAGAATAACCCATACAGTGACAGGTATCACGCCATATCACGAGTCCAGTGACAGCATGAGGCCAAGCATGGCTGCAGCCAGTACCAGCCATGGATATAGCCCTGCCATGACCTTGCTCCCAAGAGATGCTTGGATAGTGGGAGGCTGTGACTGCAGATGACTGCAGAACCATGAAATGAAGACGTCACCGTCACGTCACCTCGCCTTCCATCGGTGTTTGGGCAAAACAGCCCACAGCGGCAAATGAAGCTCTGACGCAAGTCCCTTGAGTCGATGTGATGCAAGTGATGCATTGTTGGCACCTTTTTTTATGTGCAGGGCATTGCGGCATTGTTCTGTCTCATCTAGAAGCAATTCCAATATATTCCAATCACCTTTGATTCCGCTACCATTACGCCTGCCATCCTCTGATGCCTGTTGTGCTTGTTATGAACTGCCAAACTGCTCTGCAAGGTCTGCAGGCATCACAAAACCACAAGCATTCACGAGGACTAAAGTGATCTTGTTCTTCTGCTTTTAGCCCCTTGAGTTCTCAAGCAACAGGCCAAGCATTTGTTGCGTCAGCACTATGATCAAGCTTAGAGCACATTGGGCCCTCCCTTTTTGTGTTCTCCGAATTGTTCAAACGTATTTTGATGTGCCTCGGTCAGAAATTTCCTAAACCGAAAGCACTCACAAGAAGCATAATTTCCAACGCATTCTTCCAAACATCTTGTTAGTCATAAATCAAATTTGGCACCACCGGGCTTCTGTGGTTTCAATATGTATGTATCTTTGTATATATATATACTATGTTTTCGTACAAAACAAATGCAAAACAAATGCGTACAGTACATTTATTTGGTGACACAACCTGTCGGTGCCACGCCTTTCTCTCTTTCCAACTCCATGTGGTCCATTTTGGCGCCAACACCATCCTTGCCTCTCACCTGGAGCACCAACCATCGGGTTTTGGATGCTGAAGCACCAAGTGCTTCAGAGGCCAAGGACATGAAGCGAAGAGTGGTACATCGAGGGATTCATAATCCATAGTTACCATAGTTTGCCAAGAATTAGTATTGCCGGACTCAGAGGGCAGAGGTTGGAATGATGGAGCAAAGCAGCAAAGCCTTAGATTTTCCGATTTTCCGCCGTGCACGGTCTGGCAAACTTGGCCTTGCAGGGCCGAAAGCGCAGTGTCGCATCACTTGGCCACTTTGCAAGGCCAAGGTTGCACGGAGGAGCACCATTACACTACTTTGGAGATCATTGTACAGGGCTCTCAAGAAAACTGAAGAAATAATTGGTGTTTAACCCTGCACACGACCTCCACGTCGTTGAAACCAGAAATAGACTTGGTGATTTCCTGATAGATCACTAGACCGAGCACTCTTGCAGCCTCACACTGAAACACAAATGATCAAGGAGTTAGTTCGTGTCTTGCAAGAACCCAAGTCTGCTATATATATATGTACATATTATATATTATATATTATATATTATATATATATATATATTATATATTATATATTATATATTATATATATATTGTATAATTAATATATATATATATATTATATTATATTATATTATATTATATTATATTATATCATATATTATATTATATTATATATTATATTATATTATATATTACATTATATTATATTATATTATATTATATTATATTATATATATACTATATATATATATATTATATATACACTATATATATATTATGTGTATATATGTATATACACTATATATATATTATGTGTATATATATATTATGTATATATATATACGAAATTGCAAACTGAATGTGTTTCTCAAAACATGCGACGATGACCATCTCTTACACTATATAATGTTTCTTTTCAGGAAACAGTGTGATGCATGACTGAACCGCTGCAGCTCCGCTGAGCGGATCGTTTCGAATGGTTTTCGATAGTCTCGAAGAAAAATGTGTTCAGCCGACATCCTGGAACCACTTTGAAGTTTCGGGGTCTTGAAGAAGTCGTGTTGTCTATCTGTTCTCACCAGAGAGATCTTTGCTTCCAGCTGTCGCTGCAGGGAGGCAAGATAGGCCACTGTGACTTGAACAAATCCGATTATATCATATCACATTATATTATTTCATATTATATTACATTGAATTAAAGTATGTTATATTAGAGTATATTATGTTGTGGTATATCATATTAAATGTTAAATTACATCTTATGTATTAATATATTATATCATATTTTATCAAATTACATCATTGTATTATACAATATCAATTTGAATCATGTAATAATTACAATGATATTATATTATATAATATAATTATATTGTATTATATCATATTGTATTATATCATATTGTATTATATTATATTGTATTATATTATATTGTATTATATTATATTGTATTATATTATAGCTTAGTTATATTATATCTCATATATAATATAATATAATATAATATAATATAAAATAATATAATGTAATATAATATTATATTATATTATATTATCTGAGATTATGTAATATTGTATTATATTGTATTATATTATATTATATTATCATGTTCTGTGCTTCGTTGCAAGTGGTTTCATAGTGTATCAAGAGCCTCATGTATACAAAGCAGGGCCAGACCTCTGGGAAAATCCGGAAGAACTGTCCCGGAAATTTTGGCCTTGAGCAATCATCAATGCTTCTTCTTGCTCACACCTCTTGGCAGTGCTGACTTAGAGCACGAGTTCCTTCGACGGCATGCCATGAAGTGCTGGAATCCTGTGAAAGGATGTGCAGCGCAGCTTCTCCCCTAAACTCCAGGTTTCTTCACCCAGTGAAATATTCACCCGTGGAGAGTGAAGGGTAGATGCGCTGAGCCCTTGACATCTGAGGGCTGGCAGAAACAGCTTAGGAAATGGAAAGCGGGCGTTAAATCACGAAAAGGTTCAACTTTCGCAGGATTCTCTTCCCATTTCCGATTCCGTATCTGGTAGATGTGGAGAAGATTGCAGAAGCAGTCGGGCCGTTGTGGCCACCTACTCATCGTCACTCAAGTCCTCTTCATCAGAATCATCTGAGTCACTGCACCTCAGGACAATCGAAACAATCGAACAACTAGGGGTCGCTGAAACTTCGTGGCTGCTCACTTGCATCCAAACAACTAGTGATAGTGATGTAGCCTGAGAGTCTGTAACGTTCCTAAGAGCAGAACTCATCTTCGAGAGGTAAATCCTCAGTGCAGTACAATGTAATCTTGGAAAGTATACAGCAGTATCCTCTTTGGCCCCAAATTGAACCCCAGGATTAATAGGACTCCAAGTTCCACCTCGCTATGCTGTTCTCTAGGCTTAATGAGCTGCCGAGGTCTTGAGAGCATTTGAGACCTCTTATAAACTGCTTGCTGCTCCTCCCCAAAACCACAAAACTTACCCTTCAAACTGGACTGGCATGCTAAGATGCTATCCCACAGAAATCCTAAGAGGCCTGGGGATCAGAGGCGACATGTCAGGCGAAGGGCGTTCAAGACGGCAACAGCTCTTCGCGCCAGCTTCATGGTCAGCCCTATCTTGGGAGGCGTAAGAATCATGCGCCCACCTGCCAGCTTAGCAAAATGTAACAAACATAGCTACAACATGTTCGAGGAAATTCCCTGGCAGAAAATATGAAGGAAATTCAAGAAGAAGCAGATGCCTCTTGCTGCTCTTGGGTCAGGGTTGTCAGATGAGCTCCAAACCCTAAAACCTGTGCTGACTGTACAAAGTGCAGGCCTAGCTCAGTCGTCATGTCCATGTCATCCAGCGCTATCCTTAGCCGAGTGAAAGTTCGGTCCGTCTCACCTGCAGCCTCTGTATTTAGTCTGTAGAAGTCTGTCTCTGAAACTGGCACTCCAGAAAATCCACCATGTATTTCAAAAATTCAACAGAGCTACCCTTCGGGCACTTCCCTTTTTTTTGTAAATCCTTCGAATCCTCACTTAGACCCTTGTTATTCAATCCATAAGTGAGTCCATGTTTCAGCCAGCCAATCAATTTGACCTAATAGAGATAGATTCAGATAGACGGGCAGTCAGCAATCGAATTGCCAAATTTGTCAAAACTATCTATGCCTAGGGGATGTCATGAATGATTTCAAATCAAGCAACCAGTGTGGTGGCACTTTCAATCTATTGACGTACTGCATGATCTCCTCTGATCTACCTGTCAGAGTCACAGAAGTACATGCTGGAAGATCGAAACACAATTTCAAACATTTTCCAACAACCAAAGGCTCTCGGAAGCCCCGACTTCAGACATGTCAGGAATTTCTTGTCTGGCACATCAAAAAAAAATTGGGTTCATTGGGTGGAGGTTTCACAGATCTGCTAACCAGAACGAAATTCCAACCATGTGGATCCCCGTGGGCACCCAACTTTGAAAGTTCTGTGAAAAATTCCAGTTTGGTCACCCAACTCTCAATGGCACATGGCCTGCTTTGCCCTTCAAGTCTGGGGTTTGCCCCACAGTCTTCGGAATGCCAAAACGCTTCAGAGCCTACATGAACCATGCAGCTCATGCAGAAGTGTTGACATCAGAGGTCCAAGGAGGTCCATACGCAAACATTGGATGCCACCAAATGGCTGATTAAAACACTACGTATATAATCAATATAATACATATTATATATATATATATCAATCTCGCAAGACTTTTTTCTGGCCTTGTCTACGGCATCTCGACCAGTCTTACCTTCCCATAAACGCCAAGTGGAGGAAAGCACGATTTCAGCGCCAGTCTCTTTCTGGATGTAAGCTAGTGCCTCAAGGTCAGATTGACAACGCCAAACAACACAGTCGTATTGCTTAGATGATCAAAGAGGCATGTCTGATGGCTTTCTGTTCTCGCATTGAGTAGTGGGGATCAGTCAGTTTAGCCTGCAGTGTGTACGAGTATCCCAAGTATCCCAAGAGGTGAGGAGAGTTTGCTTGTCAAGTTAGCAAAATTTAGCAATAAGCTTGGCATCACATGGCATCTCATGGCATCAAATGCCATCATGGCATTGCAAGCACTACATGAGTCCAATCTCACTTCCGCCTCCATGCATGGTTTGTCAAAGGATACTTTCGCATAGTTGGCAGCATGCAAAACCTGGCAACTCCACAAGGCCCCACGCTTCTTTGTCACCAAATATTTGGGTCTGAAAATGAAGGATCCCTCCAAATGGCCATGTTTGAAGAACAAAATAATGATAACCCGATAACCCATCGATTTTTGGCTCCAACATTTCAGACTTCCTCTTGTTTGGGCTGAGGCTGAAACTCCGTCAACATCGAGAAAGATGATCTTCTGCTGCTCCGCCATTTTGCGGCTGACCTCATGAGGACGTGATTAAAAAAATAGTCATGGACATCGGAAAAAAAAAAAAACTATTTCTGAAGCAAATGTCACATCTCGATTTGTTTCCCAACTTCGTAGCTTGCCTCTGGGGAGCGGATGGAGGATGTCGATTCCGATGCCTGTCAAACATGTCCTTCAGTTCTGAGCACATGTTTGGTCTCTAAAGGCTGATGCTACATAACCATGTCACCATGCACAGTTTTGATCTGCTGGAGTTTTGCAACCATGCTACGTTCGTAGATAAAGACTGCCAGGAGTCACAAGTTGACTCCGAGAAGGATTTTTCTCTCAATATCCATTCCTTGGTAGAGAAACTTGAGGCCGGGGGTGGATGACGAAAGCTAGCGGGGTAGGAGAAAGAAGGAAGGGAAGAGGTGAGTTGCGGAGGGACTGTCATCATCGTGTCGCGGCATTGTTCGTCCCAACGAGGATGCAACAATGATATATTGATATATGATATATAACAATGATATATATGGGGGAGGGGGCAGGGGGGGGCCCTTTCGCGGGAAAAATCACGTGATGTCCTTGGGGAGCCCCGGAATACGTGCTAAAGCAAGAAGACTCTAGCGAGCTGACGCTAGCTTTCGTGATAATGACAATAATTGCCAATAATGATAAAATGTAATTGAATAACGATGATGATGATGATGATGATGATGATGATGATGATGAATGATGAATGATGAATGATGAATGATGAATGATGAATGATGAATGATGAATGATGAATGATGAATGATGATGATGATGATGATGATGATGATGATGATGATGATGATGACGAGGACGGACGAGGACGAGGACGATGGAGAGGACGATGACGATGATGATGACGATGATGATGACGATGATGATGACGATGATAGATAGATAGATAGATAGATAGATAGATAGATAGATAGATAGATAGATAGATAGATAGATAGATAGATAGATAGATAGATAGATAGATAGATAGATAGATAGATAGATAGATAGATAGATAGATAGATAGATAGATAGATAGATAGATAGATAGATAGATAGATAGATAGATAGATAGATAGATAGATAGATAGATAGATAGATAGATAATGATGATGATGATGATGATGATGATGATGACGATGATGATGACGATGACGATGACGATGACGAGGACGATGACGAGGACGACGATGATGATGATGATGATGATGGTGATGATGATGATGATGATGATGACGAGGACGCGGACGAGGACGAGGACGATGGAGAGGACGATGACGATGATGATGACGATGATGATGACGATGATGATGATGATGATGATGATGACGAGGACGCGGACGAGGACGAGGACGATGGAGAGGACGATGACGATGATGATGACGATGATGATGACGATGATGATGACGATGATTTATCTAAATCCGAGAGTCATGTGATGTTTGAACCTTAAAAATGTGTGCGCTGGTGTGTACGATAGGTTGTGCGCTGTGTGCGTACGCATGCACGATGGGCTGTGCGATGTGTGCGTACGCATGCACGATAGGCTGCGCGATGTGTGCGTACACATGCACGATAGGCTGCGCGATGTGTGCGTACACATGCACGATAGGCTGCGCGATGTGCGCGTACGCATGTGCAATTCGTTGTGCAATGTGTGCGTACGCATGCGCGATGGGCTGTGCGATGCTTACGTACACATCTGCGGTGGGCTGTACAACAGTGCGTACGCATACATGATTCGGAAATCTGGTGTGCGCGTGCGATGTGTGTGTGTGTGTGCGCGCGATGTCTGCATGGGCAAGCTATGCGTGCTGGCATTGGCAGGATGTGTGCATTCTAATGGTGGTCTGATGTTTTATGATGTGTGCGTGTGCATGCAATGGGTTGTGTGCTTTGCGCAAATGTGCGATGTATACCGCGCATGTGTATAGGCACATGATCACCGGTGCGATTAGGTTCTGCAATTTAAAAATGTGCCATTGGGTGTATAAAGGGTGCGTGCTGTTGAGCGGTGCAACAGCAATATCTATACTATATGTCTGCAATTTTAGTGTAGAGTAGATACTATTTGGACACTGGTATGGTTTAAAATAATTACTGCACGAAGATATTAAGCAAGCATTCCTGCTTGGCCCTTGCACAACTCCCTCCTCAACAAACCTATCCGTAGAAAAAGGGCAAAACCAATTACAGTATACCCATCGTTTGGTCAGGCAATAGTGTGCTTGATCAAGAAAAAAATAGGCAAATTAGTAGTTGCAAAGAGGGGCGCCGATGAACATGTGAAACAAAATGTTGTAGGACAGTCACTCTGCACAGGAGTTTGTGAGCTGAGAATATGAACGGAGTTCATGCAAGGTTGGATTTCATAGCTTGAACGATGCTTTCCATGTCTAGCTTGCTTGCAACTGGTGTTGCAACTGCTACCTTACTTTTGGCTGCTGCTGAATCTTCCTTTCCATAGAAAAAATGGTTTTAGAGACTAAGACGCCAGGAAAACCATTAGTTTGAAAAAACATGCTTGTAGCAAAGAATAAGTAGACGCAGTTCTTGGAAATACGTTCTGTTTGATGACATTCTACGACAGAAACTATGGTTGGGTCATTTGGGAAACTAACATGTCGCTCAAGAAAAACGCATACCAAATCGAAATGTGGCACGGGGTGCTCTTGAAGGCAAATTCAAGGCTTCCACAAACTGGAACCTGGTAAACGTGTCAAGTCAAACAATTTCTATATATATGTTCAAGAATTGAACGCTTGGGTTGTGTAATGAGCGCTCGTGCAGGAGAGCGGGTCACCCTGTGGAAACCATTGTAGGAAGTGGCTTAGTGAGAGAGAATCTTGTATAGAATAGATTCGCCAACACTTAGCAACCTAGAACCCTCAAACCCATCTGACTCAGACTCACTCCCCAGGTAAGTGGTCCACGAAACATATGCTTCAAAACTATATACTTTGGAAGAGAAGGATGCCAAATAGAATTGACTTTTCAAATTCAAAAAACAAGGTTGCTTGCGGTTCCCGAAAAAACCTTGTGTAGTCGTGAGGTGTGTTTTCAAAAATCCGTTCTCCGCATGTTCAGCGCCAAACAAGCACATGGCAAACAATCAGAATCTTTGATACACCTCGCTCAAATGAATGCCGTTTCCAAACATATTCTACAACAACCTACAACATGTCTTTACTGAATTGACACGGGTCCAACGATTTTTTTTGCGACACAGAGCTACTCTATTGTATTTTGTTCCAAGACTTGTCTGTGACAAACCTGACCAACATACACACACGCACATGATTGTCTCAACCTATGTGAAACTCACACACCAAACTTGCCCACAGAAAACATTCTGCAACAAATGCTGTGTCAGGAACCTTTGACAACATCTGGACTTTGAGCACGACAGGATTTAGCAAATTGGAAATATCACATATCCATCCACCTTGTGAGGATTTATGGGAAAAAAGAACCTTGAGCTGAGCTGTGACATGGGTTTAGTGTGAAATGTGTTTCGCCCAAACTAATGGCACGAGCATGTTCGTACACCACATGTATAATATATATATATGCATATATACACATATATTTATATTACTACATATTGTGTGTATTTGAATACAGTATATGTTTGACATAATTTGACATATATGAATGAGAAACCTAAATGTCTATTTGTACATGTTTGGATGGGGCTAGGTGCATGAGTGAGTATCATCTCATCTTGCTTATCATAATCGCAACAGAAAATGGTTCCCAACAATTCATTCCTGCTGGGTGTGAAATCATTCATCAGATCGTAGGACATGTTGTGGAGCTGTTCACAAGCACTGCATGAGATCCCATGAGGCGTTTTACGGCAGCCATGGTCTGCGTAGCAAAAAGTAGGCCAAGCATGTCATTCCCTCCCACAGGAAACTTGCTTATTGTTGCAAGGTGTCTCCCATGTTCCTATTCAAACATTGCATTGGAATAAAACGGCGCCCAAAAACACAATACGTGTTTCCCCAAATCGCTTGCCATGGTTCTTGCACATTCTTCTGCCATGAAATGTCCAAAGATCATTTTTGTTCATTTTTTGTTTCCAAATCATTTCTTTGAAAGGAGGTCTAGGAAAAGACGTGCGTCAATGACACAGCCATGAAGATGTTCTTAACTAACCAAGCCCGCTTGTATCTCAAAAGCATTTTTCAAGCATCTTTTCCAAGCTTTATGTCCATGTGTCTGACTTTTTGCGATCCACTATACGCAAAGATTTCAAATGGTATTCCAACAATGAACCACATGAAAGCGAAATAGAACCCACCTTCCCTTCAAGAAAACATGAAGAAGTAGATAGAACTAGTCAGGGTCTGTGTGCGAGAGTCCAATCTCTTGAAGATGCTCCGTTTATACAAGTTTACAGGTTTGTGTGTCGCAGCTACTTTTTTCATTTAATATACTGTGTTGCATTTTGGAAGGTTTATGTTTTCCAAAATGTTTGCCTGAAAACTAAGCCTCACAGCTAACCTTAAGCCTATAAGACCGGGTCCCAAATGTAGCCAAATCCCAGGTGTATACATGCCAAAAATTCAGAAGTGCCAAATTTAGAGCTGCCTAACTCTCCACCAAATCCAAAACCCATTCAAACATGAAAACGGCACGGGCCGATTGGACAAGGCGACCGTACATGTCGACCGTACACTTCGACCGTACATGTCGACTGTACAGGCTTTTGTCAGCAAATTTTTGGTTTTGTCAGCAATTTTTAACGTTTTGTGAGCAAAAACTGGCAAAATTTGCTGACAAAAACGTGTACAGTCGAGGTGTACGGTCTGGGTGTACGGTCAAGGTGTACAATCGATGTGTACAGTGGACTGCAGTGGAAATGAGCAGTTTGCATGGGCTTGTGCAGTATATGCTGGCCTGTAGAAACTTGAAACACCATGAGTCACAAGGAACGCTGCTTAGTGCACGGAAGCAATGCTTTACTCTCCTCCTGGTTGATTCTTCAT